ATGACATGTCAAAAAGCAACATGCAGGAAAAGAGTAATTAACTTCATTCTGCGCACAAGGACTGCAGCGGTCACTCATTACATGGGTAAGTCAGGGTGAAAGATTCTGTTGTTTGTGTTTGAGTGTGCAGTTCACCACCAAAACTGTGTATTTTCAGGAGTTAAGTGCCTGTGTGAATACAGCAAAAAGAGACATACAGAGCTCTAAAATCAACACAAACTGACAGATCCTGACAGGAGTTTTAGGTGGAGTCCAAAGTAACTGTGTTTAGACACATTACCTCAATCAGAGTCCAAATCAAGGCTACGTTACCTGAGTTTGAGTCCCCTCTTGTAATATTGTCCATTTCAATGGTTTGACTGCAAACTGTAGACCGCCTGAAGCTGGGCTTACTGTCTGGGACCTTTTGGATGCATAAAACACATTTTGTTTTACCAATAGATTCTGATTAATCCTGGCAGAGTCTTTGGAAAACTTAAATTAAAGATGCACTACACTAGAAACCGAACGCATTGATTCTGCTGCAGTGAGATCTTACAGGTGTCCATTCTACTCAAAAAATCCTGGGAGGGACCCATCTGCCATTCGAGTTTTAAACATCTTGGATCAAGTGGTTGAGACTCTTTAATTGCTGACATTACTATTATCTTGCTAATATATGGTAACTTAATTAATTGGCTGAGCAACTTAAGCATTGTGTTTGTTTTTGAGAGTACATTCTGGTCAGATCTCTGTTAAAAAATATGAGTTTGTTCCTTTCTTTTGGCCAGGACTCGGACTTGGGCTTGAGTCTGAGTCCTGGCCTAAGTGCTTTCACAGTGCTCAGAGTTAGTAAAAACTAACAATCTGCATTGAATGACCCTCAAAAGAAGAGAGGCTAACAATGATCCTGATTCTTATGCAATGGCTGCCAGAGATAAAACTTATAAACCAGAAACAGAACACACATATGTTACCAGTTAAGCTTCGCATGTTGATAAAATAATACTCAAAAATGTGCTTACCTGAAAGAAATCAGAGCTCAGGCTTCTTGGACAGTCTGTCAGCATAAATAACTGAGCTTTCTAATTTGCCTGAAATTTCCTGAATGATTTACACCAACAACTCAATCACAGCTGACGGTTTAAGTTGAGTGAATGAAATGGCTGAGGTGACGCTGCTCAAATACCCCCAACTGTCATTTTTAAAGGCTAGGTGCTTAAATATTTATGACTTTAACCTTTAATTTAATCCAAAGATATCAAAGTTTCCACCCTGAGCAGTTGCCATAAAAAGATAAATGACCTAAAACTTTTTTGTACTGGGCTGTAAATAAATTATTTTCTGCTGATGTTTTTAAATGGCTTAATCAAGTTTGACTTACTTTTGGAACAAGCCCCTAGTGGACACTTGAAGCACTGCAGGTTTTCTTGAGACATTACAATTTGATTCTCGGAGTTCATGCAGAGCTTCCCCTTAAAAGAGGACTTAACTATGTGGAGTGCCTCTTTAAGTTTTCCTGTTAAACTTGTAGAGCTGCCTTACTGTCTCTGTGCTGTGCTGATGTGTTACTGTAAAGGACCTTTTGGAGATTGCTCTGTTTAATAGAAGTGGTAAAAACTGTACCACTGCTGCTGCTGGGACAGCTCAAACTGCCAACATTTCTACAGATGCTTTTGTTTTGGGCCAAAGCAACTATCAGTTCTGTCCCTTTTGAAAATAAGTGCAATAAAACAAGATTGAAAAGTAGTTATTACCACAAACACCTAAAAGTAACTTTTGCTTAGGTGCTATAACTACTAAGCAACTACAAACCTTTCACAGCCTTAATCCCAGAAGAGTTGGAATGCTGTGAAAAATATAAACATATTTTCAAAGTTTGTGAATTATTTAATTCTATTATATTTGATTATGGCATGAAGACTATGTAATAGCTGTTGAAATTGAATAAAAAATTCAATCAGTACAAATTTGATGGCGACTGTCCTGTGGACTGCCAAATCAGATTTTGGCATTCCTTTTGAAACTCATGGATGCAGGATGCTTGACTTTAAATGTAAGAGTAAGAAGGGCCACCCAACTTTTCATGACCCCACAGTTCAGGTGCTTAACTGGCCTGCCTAACAAGTTCTGGCTTGTTATCCATTAAAAAGAAAGTTTTTTGTATACTGGCTCAGAAATTACGACAAAGAAGACCCCCAAGTGTTGGGAAGCTTAAATCCTCGAGCAACACCAGGACATTTTTCTGTCTAGAAAGAAAAAAAATCTGGAAACCACACTCTTCAGTTCCCAGACATTTATAGAGGGTTGTAAAAAGGAGAAATTCAAACATGCCCCTACCTCACCTTTTCTGAATCATGTTGCTGGCTCTAAATTTTAAAAAGCACATATTAATCAAAGTTTAGAAAAATCTACACTCCACACTTGCTCAGCTCCACCATTTATCAGAAGAAATATCACAATGTTTTGGTCCATCTGGGCCTTATTCAAGAGGGGATTCAATAAAGGGAAACACACTGTTATTTTTTCTAATAAACGGGGGAGTTTAGCAAGTGTAGTGTGCAGTGTTGGCTCTTTTCAAAGTATAGATTTAAATCTCATGCACCTTCAACTTGAAGACAACAGGATGTGCCAACATCACCTTCAACATATTAACGTATATATGAAAAACAATAAAAGGTTTCAGTTTCAACATCTTATTTTTAGACAATTTTTAATTAAATACATTGAAATCAGTTTGAAGAACAGTTAAAACCACATCAAAACTCTTGCTTAGTTAGGGTTGTGTTTTATTAATCTTCTCCTCTTTCTTCCTTTTGTTCTTCTTATTGACTATCTTACCTGTTCTGAAACTACAGCTTTTTCAGCCCTCTCTGTTAAAAGTTTATTCTTCTAGTTGTTAAACTGCAAACTCACAGTTTGAAAAAAAAACAAAAAAAAAAAACAAGAACAAAATAAAAAAAATAATGCAAAAAAACCTTATCACTGATGGTGTGAACAACTTACCCAGGATTTTCAATGCATCCATAACAGCTGAGATCTGGAATGGCTGCAATTTTTCACTGTACGCCAATTCTACCAGATCCATTTGAGAGGCAAATTTCATGGTGGATTACAGAAAGCAGGAATCGTAAGAACTCACAATAACCCACAGATTCATGTGCGATCGTGTGATAACAAGTTGTCTTTAGCCACATAGGCTAACCATATAAGCAGTAGATTGTGTCGTTTCAGAGGAGGAAATCCACTTCTAGACTTATAAAATCAGCATCCTCTAGTCTAATCCATGGTGTCAGCGGGGTGAAATGATGTCTATAAACCTTTCACTTGTTCTTCCACACCCGTTTGCATGGTGTGAAAAATCTGCCTAAAACATGGAGTGTTTATTTTTTAGAAAAGAAGCCGGATGTTTTATTTTGTGTCTGTGCCCGAATTCCTTTCCAGCACAGGTTAATCTCTGCTGAATTTATTTGGCATGCTCGAGTGTCCAGAAAAAAATAGGACTCTTGCGATAAGCTGCAGAGTCCGGTGTTCCGCAGTGTAACAGAAAGAAGCTGGTGGAAATTGACACATTAACTTGAACAGCTACGATCAGCTACGATCGGCAGATATGGCCTTTTCGTAGCCGTTCCAGATGCGGTGGAAATTGGGGGTTAAAGCTCCTGTAAGAATCTTTCAGTTTGTGTCAAGTTTGGTGCTCCCTCAAAGACAAAGTGATCTATTCTATTAAGTTGTTTTTTCTGATAGAAAAATCTCATCATTCCAACATTTGAAAGACAAATGTATCCTTTATTTAAAGTATTTTATGTAAAAATTTTACAAACAGGGCTGTTTTTAAAGTTACTTCGCTGACACCTACCTTCTGGAATTGGCTTCAGAAATTAAAATTAGGATTTAAAATTCATCAGTCTTGCAGCTAATGGCCTTGTTTGCTCCTGGAGATCATAAAAGGGCTTTAAAATGAATTTCAGTCTATAGGTCCTTACATACTGGGAGCGTTGTTTTTGTGCGATTATTTCAGACGTCAAATTTTTTTTGAGCCCGTATCCTGTCAATACAAGCATTCACATCAGCGATGTTTTCCCTTCCTGCGATATTGCAGCTTTTTTTTTTTTTTTTTGTATTACAGTCGAGGTTTCTATAGTTTCGCAAACTGTGTTTCCACTTCTGACCAATTAGATTTCATGTTGTTGCGACGTCAGATTCACCGGTATATCCAACATGGCCGACCGGCTGACTGTTTAGGTGTCGGAGAACAGAGTGCTTTTTGATAAAAGACACAAACATTACAAAGATAACAACCTGAAGGACAACTTGTGGAGAGTCATAGCGTTCGATTTCTAATATGACGATGGTTTGTGTGCTTTAACAGTTTGCTTAACGTGTTTGTATTAACTTTCATCTGCGCTAAGTAACTTTAGCTTGTAAGCTAACCTGTTCAGATACAACATATGTGTACTTTCACTGTCTCAATCTCAATTATGTTGCTGTCACAGCACCATTAGGTCTCGGTTGTTACCTTACGTTTATGGATTCTAGTTTAATGCGCTTATCTGGTACTGGCCCCGACTCAGTACATGCTATCATGACAGACAGCCATCTCAACACTAGTGTCTAAACAGAACTGAAAACAGTCAGTCTGCTGTTGTGTCAGTCTTCTCGCTTCCACCCGGAATGGTCTTTTTTTCCCCCTGGAAAGTCGCAAAATCGCATCACGCTTGATTTGTATAGTCAGGTGCTTCAAAATTCACCTCTGAATAAATTTCGTAATTTTGCGTCGTATATTTGCGTCGTTCCCAGTGTGTAAGGACCTTATTTCATAAATGTGAAAAAAAAAATCGGTAACTTTCAAATAAAAACCAAATAAAACAAAGTCTTCCTCCTCCTACTTATTATTATTATTATTATTATTATTATTATTATTATTATTATTATTAGTATTAGTATTATTATTATGTGGCAGTCAGTGTGTGCAGAGAGGAGGCTTGTTCCTTTAAGGGTGGTGTCGCTGGCGGGCGGGCAGGCGGAGTAGGAGGAGTGTGGCAGTCTCCGCTCACTTCTCCTCAGCGAGGGGACTCTGAGAATAAACAATTCCCTCAGACTGCACGCCTCACACCTCTGCTCGCCCTCAGTCGCCGCGGTAAAAAAAGACGAGGCATTTTTTGGACTAAAATTGTGATTTTGAAAGGCTGCCTCGCCAGTTCTCCGTCCTGCTGAGAGTGTCAAGAAGACAGATGCGACCGTTTTCAGTGGATTTGCCTCCTCCTGTCGAATAATAACGATGCGCCTCTCCGGCTGACTGTGGGGTGGACAACGCAGGTAGGGGCTCCAGATAAACGCACTGTCATATCAGGGGGATGGTTATTACCACTGGGGGTGAAAATTACTCACACAGGACTCGGTGTCGAGGATTACTGTAGATGGTAGCGTGTTTTTTCGAGGGTAGGAAGGGCTGTTTGGGTGTCGTAAGGCGAGCAGAGGCGCATATGGATCTAGCGCTGAAAACGCTGCATAAAGAGTGAATAGACCTGGCTGTGTGCGGTGCCGTACGCTTCTGTTACAGCTCCAAACACGTTAAGTAAGAACAGCCACTGTGTGTTGCCACAGGCTGGAGAAAATGGGCCTTGAATTGAGATCTTCGTGTGTCTAAATCAGCTGAAATTATCTTTGTCTTTGTATGAACCGAGCGCACCGAAATCTAATGTAACCGGAATGTAATTTGGGCTACTGTCACATGCCCAGCGTTAAAATACTGAATGAATAATGACACCATATGGGCTAATTTGATAACAATACACACTGTAGTGCTGCCCATGTCACTGTGTTGTAAGGCAGCGTTAAGCGCTGTAATCTAGTTCATCACATCGGGTCAAAACAGTAGACGGACTCCTATTTATAAGCCGTTTTAGCACCACCAATGGGAAACACTTCACAGTAACACTATTCTGTACATTACGAGAGGATGAGTCCAGCTCCTTTAAAAGACCTTTAGGGGCTTTGAATGAGGCTAAAAGCGTTGGAAGTGACCTAATAGCATGCTTATATGTTGAGGTTGAGTCATGAATAGAGTTTTAAGGCTAACTGAGGAGGAATCTTCCTCATACTCTGAACATATCATGCGTGTATTTGCTTGTTACATGGGAGTGATGTCCCAATGAGGCTTGTTCTTGCACATTTTTAGTGCTACTTTAAGTTTCAGAGACAATGGCAGTGGTACTCTTATTTAAGGATGTGTAAAAGCCAAACATGTTGTAAAAGCTGTAACATTTGGGCTCATAAATGCACCAATAATAACACACAAATGATCCTTCATATTATTTCCCTTTTTACTTGAAGTACATCCCAGAAAAATCTCCTCATCTGTGACCGTTTCGTGGTTTTTGTATAGGATCCAGTTCAGCCTGCAGTGTGCTGGGTTTGGTCAGTTGCAGCCTGTCACATCACTGTGTCATCATGTCAGATATGTTTTGATAGAGTTCAAAGACTTGGATGTTTTTCAGTCCGCCTTTTTTCAGCGGCCTTTGTGAAGGTGTTCTTTCTCCTGAAATGTCCTATTGCTTCACTGGACTTTGTTCCGGTGAGGAGGCAAAAGGTCAGGGGCTGAAGTTTGCAGTGAGTTACAGGAAAGAGGGCAGAGTACATCTTCAGTTCAGCTTCTGAAAGAGCACTTCACAAAGCTGCCCTGCTGCAACCTGTTTGGGTTTCATAATAGAAGGATTAGACCAAAAAAGTGTGTTGAGTTAATGTGCTACCTTTTACAGATTCTCTGTAACTTAGACTAAAAAGTAATGTGGGGGAAAGTCAAACTTTTCTAAAGCCTGCTAAATACTGTCTGTGTCTGGGGGTCTGCCTTTTAGCCTTTCTTTTGTTGAGCGTTTAAGCTGCTTAATTATTTGACCTGAACTTACACAAGATGTTCAAGGTAGTTCAGCTTGTCCTCTTTTGCCTGAGATAACTAAAACCTGCACATTTAGAGCCCAACTTTCAAAGTTGCAAAAGCACTTGTGTTTGAATGATCTGGCCAGTCTTAAAGGTGTGTAATTCAGAGATCTCCTGAGCTGGATGGAGATTCATTTGACTATGACATCTGCTTTTATCTGGGGAGCTGCTGTTGAATGATGGGCAGTAGCCTGCAACAGAACCGGAGGACATTTAAATAGCCACATGCAAATGATGTGGAGGCTGCTCAACAGTCACAAGACTGGACTCTGCTCTCTACCCTCTGATCCACTGGCTCCTTCTCATGACAACATGTCTTATCTGGCATCATAACAGCACAGCTGCTGCTGCTGCTGCATGAAGGTGGGATGTTTTGACGGGTGGTGGTGGCTGTGCTCCTGCAGGTGTAGGCTCCACATGTCATTGTGTTTCATGTATGATTTTCTATACAGTAGCAATGGAAAAACAATGCATAAATCGTGCTGTTGGGTACTTCTCATTGCATTTATAAAAGGAGTTTCAATGTTGATTAGTCTGCTGATTATTTTCTTATTTAATTGGTTTAATTTTAAGTCACTTAAACCCCCAACATTGTGAAAACAGATTGTCACAGTTTCTCAAAATGCAGAGTGACATCTTATTTTTATTTTCCAATTAATAAGCATCCAAAAAAAAAAAAAAATCTTCCTTTACTGGCATGAATGACGATAAAAAGAGCAATTCCAAGCATTTTATGGGCTTAGTTGCTGTCTTTCAATAGTTGATTATTGTATCTCAATGGATCAGTCAATTAATCAATAAAGCTATCTTTTTAGCATCTCTCCTTTTTTGAAATGGCTATTGAAAATGAAGGAAAAGAAAAAGAGCGTAGGTTCATATTTAAGAAATTGCTATTTTTTTTTGACATTTATTATTAAACACAGCCAAAACAGTCAGTAATCAATTTTCTGTTGTTCCATTAATCAATTAATCATTGTAGCGTTACTTCATAGTAAATTTCTTTCATCATAAATTAAAGTCAAAATCACAATAACAGAGAAAGTAAGCAACTCTTTATGTTTGAGAACCTAGAATCAGAAATTGACTGATACCTGGATTGACTAATGATACTTGGCAAACTGTCGTCGCTTGATTGATTAATTGATTAATCATTTTGTCTTCAATAATCACTGTCATTTATAAGGAGAACATTGCTAAATTGATGAGATCTGAAATTATTTGACAGTTCTGCTGTAAAATAAGTGAAAACTATTACTTTTTCGTGACAGTAGTTTGCATGTTAGTTACGTAACATCCAAAGAGTCGATTAATCGATTAACCAATGCAGTCCTACTTCTTGGTGACTTTCTTTTCTCCTTTAAATAGTTTGATGTAACTGTGTTTTTTTATTCAGGGTGATGCCACACATTCAGGAGTACCTGCCCAGGCACTTATCGGCACTAACAGCTCCTCTAACTACCACCACTGTGCCAACTCAAACCTTTCTGTTTGTAAATCTGTCAGTCACTAAGCCTGACACACGGGACAGACAAAACTGAGGGCGTCATCCCACTTTTTGATCGCTGAGATAGTCGGCAAAAACAAACTAATGTGCAATCTAGCAGAACAAGTGTCATGCATTTACTGCAGAGTTTTTGATTTATTATAGACCTGGGAGCTGCCCAGCACTTGTGTTGTTGGCCACTGAACATTGTTCAAGGGCACTTTGACAGGAGATGTGGAGGAATAGAAGTGCATTTCTCATCTACTTACTGGCCCGCACTCTGTCAGCCCACGGAGGATTCAAACCAGAGACCTTTTGGCCACAAGCTCATTTCTCTAATTGTTTGGGCTCTATAATATCTGTGTGGAGCGTGCATTAAGCCAAATCACTTTATTGTTCTCCGTACTGTTTGTTTATTCAGTGGACACTCTGCACTTATAATACTCAAGACTACATCTGTTCTAGGGGAGAGATTTACACAGCAACAATTATGCTGTAAATTTTATGGTAAGACTGAAACATTAATCTCACATTACAAGACAAACACATGACACAAGACAGGTCACTGTCATTATTAATTACATTAAGTTGAACAAAACCTGAATCCTAACTTTATTTCTTTTAAACTACGCTGATGTTGAATCAAGAGTGGACTCCTGGATGGATGTCAGGCTGACACTTTGAATATTTTTTCTGCAATTAAAATGTAACTCTTAATTTTGAGCAGATTTTAATCCCATGCAAATATGCAGAAGAAGCCCAGAAAGAACTTTTTAAAATAAAGCGTTTCACAACCTGCTGCATCTTCAGCTGCAGACAGTGCTGACAAATTCTGGATCACTCCAAGCTTAATTTTCTGTATTATATGTTCTCTGAGAAATGTTTCACCTTGATTCATTTTGTAAAATGTTTATGCTTAGTTGAATATATTTGGGTGCCCTGACTGTCAATATAAAAAAGTTTCACCTCAGGATTATTAAGGCCCAGAAATTTTATTATTTATTAAAAATGGTTCCAGTCAAATTAATAAAAGGCAAGACGAGGATAGAGCGACATGTTGAGCTGCTCAATTATGGTAACAATCCTAATCATTATTATTTTTATTGATATTGACAACATGAGTATTCAGCATGATTACTCATTGATTCAGCAACACCTGGATCACATGCAGGTTTTGGGCTTATGAGTCTTTTAACCATGAAAATTCTTAACAAACATATAAATGCACTTTAACACATTTTAATGGGATATGGATCAGTATCTATGTGCTCACTCTGTCCCTCTGCTTTACTAACACACTCTTGCTCCTCTTCTTGTTCTCCTTGCTCCGCCTGCTGCTGCATGTTTTGTTTGCTTGTTTTTTTTTATTTTTTTTTTAACCCTGTAGCACTTCACGTTATCCCACCTAAGACAATCGTCAGCATTTGCAACTTCTTTTGGTGTGATTCATGTCAACATGTCATCCACAAATTGTTTTTTTTATTTTTTTCACAAAAATTTATTAGCATGCAGATAGAGTACTTAATACATCGCCTTTTTGATCACAGATGACAACTCGCTACAACTAGTCAGTGGGTGCATAGCGCATGCGAGTGACAGAGTTCAGTTTCGAGAGGCGGAAGAATGTTTTTTTTATATACATAAATTATAATATGGGAGATTATTAATACAGGTAGACGGCAGGAAAGAAGGGTAAAATATGGTAGTTTCCCGGCCAAAATGGGATACTTGACAGCTATGAGTAGAAGCCAAACACTGCTCAACGCGAGCTAGCTATCTGGCTACTCAGTTTTCTTCTTCATGGCTGCCACCAAGTGACTTCGTATGAGTGCATGTTTTGTTTTTAGCACAATATCATTCTTCAGTATTTTTGGACTGACTAATGATGGTATATTGCGACAGCCCTACTAGGTGGTTGGCCTGAAAATATCATATATACATTGATCAGGCTCTAGTTTGAAGGCATCAGTTTCAGTATCTCACCATCCAAGAGGATGTTGGCACTCCTTGTGACTCCTTTCTGTGCCGCCTCTTCCTCCTCCTCCACACCTCTTATCTCTCAATGGATTTCACACACAGGCACACACAAGTATTACACACACTACAGTATCTTATGCCCAAATCATGAGCCAGATTGAACAGATTTGGCACAGACTGTGTCTCAGAATAGATATAACAAAGACGAGGCTAAAATGTCAAGGCTTGAGTGATTAAAGTGTAAACATACAGGGATGGATGCAGCGACTCAAGCCAACAAAATTGAATCAAAAATGAATACAATACAGACATTAATACTACAAGTGGAGGTCTGCTGGAGGCTGATCCTAACCGAGTTAGGCAGGAACATTAAGAGGCATGTGGAAACTTGCTGTTTACTGATTATATGGCATTTTGTCTGTAACAAGAAGACCCAAAGAAAAAGACTGCTCCAGATAACACGGCAGAGAAACTCCTCAAGTGAAATTTTCAGTCAGAAATAAGATGATTGTGTGGGCAGTTTGAGAGTATTCCCACTGTGTGCTGCTGAGAGGATACGCTTTAGAAAGGGCTCTCAGTTATAGCAGCACTATCTCATTCAAAGACAATCACTCCGGCTCCTGTTGGTGCTTCTGTCATGAACAGAAGGCAACCAAAGTCAATGGGACTCATTTTGATGACAAGGCAGGAACAGCTAAATGCGTCTTTACAGCCATCGCTCCTGGATGCGGGCTGGAATGACGAAATGTGAGGGAGAAAGATGGACGCCTCCTCTGCAACCCCTGAGAGCTATACTAGCAGGATCTCATCTGTTGAATGACTCCTGCTCCCACCCCCTCCTCCACCCCTCCACCCCTCTGCCTTCACACTTCACCTTGGCCTTGGTGCAATGACAGGCCCCTCAATTATCTCCGCCGATTGATCGCTGCTGATTGCAATTACCGTGAATTATTTAGACTTTGCAGAAATTGCTCAGTAAAGCAGAGGGAGAGCCAAAGACAAAAGATACTGCAGGTCAAATAAATTACGCGTTATAACCTGCATGAAGCATCGTCCCGCTTTAAAAACAACAGCTGCAGAAGCCTAACTGTGCCGATCAATGAGGCAGAGCGGGGGGAACAGCATCGGGCGTACCTTGTACTATGGTAACGGAGCCACCAGCTCAACCAAACCTGCACCGTCCCTCTCCTCTGATACGTTAAGTAAAGACCGAGGAGATGGAGCGTGGGGCAGCAAAACCTCCTGGGTGATGTGAGAGGAGCTGACTCTTTTCCTGGCTGGGCTGGTGTGGTCACAGTAGAGGAGCGGAGTGGAACTGACTCCCCCACTCCCCTCCCTCCCCCCCTACTCTCTGCCTGTCTTACTCCTGTAGCAGAGCTGCTGCTGCCCCCGGGCTGTGGAGGTGCAGTAGGAAGGTTTCTCTACCATTGTGGGGAGCGTGCTGCCAGGATGCTGCAGTCAGACGAGGGGAAGGTCTCTGCTTTGCCACAAGCAGGCCAATGTCACAGGCGTGACAGGGTGGGCGGGCTGTGAAGGGAATGAGGGCAGACGCTCAGAGATAAAAGGAATACCCAGCCTGTGAGTGTGTGTACATGCGATAGAGAGCTTTGTTTTCGTTCAGAGGAATACAAAGGATTAGAGCTGTTCTGATACCAATACCAAAACTGGGAATACCTCGGAAACCACCAAAAAGGCAGGATTGGGTAACACCAAGCCCACCAGACTATACACCAATCCAGTGCCTTTTTCAGATGTATTTGCAGTGAATAAAATCAAGTTATTCAACCAAAACTCTGCAAGCAGAGCTGTTCTGCATCTGTTCACCATGGATGAATTTTGTTTGACTACGAGAGACTGATTTTCAGGTCATTTACTGTATAATTTGATGATGGCAGACAACAACAGTGAAACTCTCACAGGAAAGTTAAGATTATATTCAGAGTGAAGAAGTGAAAAAAAACATGTCATGCAGAAAGACTTTTTCTGTCATGTTTCAGAAGGTGCACAGGGGCTGTGAGCTGAGCTGCCTCTTACATTTCATTGTTCTTTTATTGTGTATGGTGCCTCAGAGGGATGTGTGAGCTAGGTCAGCTGAATAATCCAACCCTAAGTAGTCACCAGAATGACAAGTCAAACAAATTACTCATGTGTTCATTACTGTTTTATTGCTGTTTTATTACTGTTTGCCCTGAATGCCAGCTGTATGTTGTGTCTAAGCTTGTAGTGCCACCACCCATCAATAGCCACTGCCATATTTCTGTACTTGGTTATAAACAAACAAAGATGACAGCGCCTCATTGCATGGATAGATGTTTACGGCTTGTTTCAAAGTTGTTTCGGTCTCTGAACTTTATTTCCTCATATGCAAATACGTGGCTAAGCTTACAGAGAGGTGGGGTACATTGTAGCTGTTAACCAGGAGGCTCCACCTCATGCCCTATTTATGGCTTGGAAGTTTTGTTGAGTCTGTAGGGTGACTAACCTCTGAGTAAGACCAACTCTGTGTGTCCTACATTGATTATTTTTGTTAATCAGAGTTGATTACGATGTCGATTGTTGATAGCTACTGAGACTGAGAAGTGATATTTGGAAACTGACATGCATTCACAGTAAAAAGACGAAAATTGGGATACGATAAAGTCCAACACAAAGCTTTAGAATTTGTTTAGATGTCTTCAGGATATTTTAATCAAAACTGAAACTTCCAACATCATGTAGAGGGGTAAACAGCTGACCAGTAACACTTGTAGTACAATTAAGTCAGACATTGGTGACACTGAGCCAATCAGATAGTGTTGTGGGCAGGACATTAAGAGAGACAAAGCGGAGACTGAAAACAGATCCAGAGAGAAAGACACACCAGCAGCTGAGCCAAAGCAGCACACCTTTAATGGATTAATTTAATTGACCATCTGTGAAGGAAAAAGCCAATGCCTCTTTCAGCCTCAGCTACTACTAGACTCTACCAGTTGATCTAACATGTAATGTACCAAAGCAATAATAAAAACAAGTTACAAGAGGATAACTGGTTGCATTTGAAACAGTTAAAGCAAACAAAACTCCACACCTTTGTGCCTCTCATCTGTGAGTCTGTTTGATGTGACCCGTTCAAATCCTGGAGCACCAAGTGTGGGCCAGGTTTAGTCCGACCGAGGTGTATGCATGAAATGATGCCCACCTGCAGAGGTATATTTGTTGTTCTTTGAGGAATTGGTGCAATTTCAGTTGGACTAACATGATTACATGTTTTACAAAAGTTTGACTGATGCAACAATTTTTTGAACTCCATGTAAACACACGATGTGCATTTGTTCACTTTCAGACACCTATTGATTAAAAGTTTGTATTTGATCAAATGGTATTGTTTAAACCATAAATGAAGCAGCTTTAAATTAAGATCAGGGCGTTACTATTGTGCAGCTTTTTTTCTTTTTCTTGCATTGGGATTGGTCAGTGATATCACCTGCTCAGTAGCTATATTAAGGGGTCAGACATGAGATAGTGAAGGCATGTTTTGGTTGGATTTGGTTGCAAATGTCCTGCTGTTACAGTCTGAGGATTGTTGAGTAAGTCAGTGCCAGTACAGTTGTTTTTCTGAGAGATCGCAGCTAGCATGTATTTACATGAGTGTGCGTCAGGCCTCACTCAAACTGCTTCTGACAGGCATCAGATGAAGGGTACTGCACCTTGTGTACTAAATGCTATTAGTGTTGCCTCTGAATGTATTATTGCATATGTCCCTGGCATGGTCTAAGAGGCCTAAGGGTTGAAGGCTAGAACAAAGGATCACAAAGTCCAGAGACTAAGGTCAGCTGTTATTCAACTGTGTCTTATTTTAACCAGGTTATGTGGCAGCAGTGCAGGGGGAGAAGCTGGGGCTAAGTGAAAATGCCACTCATTCCTGAAGAGTCCCTGGCCTCGTCAAGGTTAGTGGCTTGTCTTTGTAAGTTGAGGGATTGATGCATGAGCCTGTCTGGCGCTGAATTCAAAGTCCAAAGCTGTCACAGGCGGCAGCTCTCCCCCCACCCCATCCCCCCCTCCTCCCTCCCTTTCTTTGCAGGCTATCACAGGGCCCCGTCCTTCCCAACTTCTTAGCAGCCCGTCCTTTTGGGAACCTTGAGCAGCCCAGGCAAGGACACAGCGTCTGGTGCAGTAAGCCTGTGCAGAGGGGGAGGCTTTACGTAACGCTCTGCTTTAAACATGGGTGTATGACTTCCCTGACACGGAGCAGTGCAGTGCAGAGCTGCACGGCTCGCAGCACATGTCCCCGCACCCCCACCCCTCCCGAGTACAAGGAGGGGGCAGAAAGATCCCTGCAACTTAATTATATCTTTCTCTTTTAAAAGCTTTCGTTTGAAATTAAATTTTCCCAGGCAATTAACTAAAGAGGAGTTTTCAGAATTTATGAATGAATGATGGATATATTGCTCAGGATGACAAGAGGAGGGAGGGAGGGAGGGATAGAGTAGGAGAGGGGGTGCATGTGCAGCTACGGCTGCAAGATCCTGGCCCTGAGATTTATTTCCATTGCAAAACAGGTGAAGTTCAGGGAAAATCAGGCATCATTAAACTTTGTACCTGAGCGCTGCTCTTTTCTGCTAGCAGTGCTTTAACACTGTTGTGTTCATAGTACACCAATCTCCTGTCAATATTTGGGTTATTCGCTGTGTAACCCTGCAAAGACTTTCCTTCTTTGCCGTTCTTAGCTTTACAGAAAGAGTAAAAAATTCCAGAGTCAGGGTTTCCCTACTCCCTCATTAAATCACACTCATATCTTATAGAAGTTGCTGAATGATGTTACATGCTGAACGCCCCAAATCCGCTTTTGGCTTGAACTGTAATTGTGTAACTTTTTGGCTTCTAGTGATGAGCTGAATTGTTGCTGGGCAACAAGGGACCTGTGCGGGTGGCCGTGGAGAGTCTGAGCTATGTGAGTTCAGATGGATCTGCAGCACATTACCCTGTAGCAGAGGAATGTCATTGAATTCTTTTTAAAAACCTTGTTTTTTGGCCGATTACTCCAAACTAGAAATGTTCATTCATCTAAACAGTATTCAGTATAAGGCCACCTTCTTGTCTTTTATATAAAGCAACCTTCATGTGGTCCCGACTTGTGTTGCATGGCTATCAACATTTTTTAGCTTTTTTGAGGCTTTTAATTCTAAATAGTCTGGTATTAGAATTTCCTAGCGTGAAGTAGTTTATGTAAGTTGAATGGTTCAAAGTGGCTCTGATGTAAGTGACCGAGAAAGCAGCTTTTTCTCAACTAAGAGGAAGAAAAATTACTACCTGCATCTTCACAAAGCAGCAGCATTAGCGAAGGAGGCATGCCAGACTGTCAATACTCAGGAGGATGTGCCTGTCAGTCATACATGATTATACAGCCAAAGCTTCTGCTTCTATTGGAAGGGAGGAAAGCAATGCCTCTACCAAAACATGTCCACTACCTGTGACAACAGTGAGTCATCCTCTGAAAGAAAAGCTCCATACTCTGTGCTGGTGAACTAAACCGGCTCATGAGAGACTTTACAGAGGAACCATGCGAAGTACCTCTGGAGCAGGCAACAAAACCTCTCCAAGAAGTGTGCAGTACTTGGGGTTTGCATAAAACTAGTAAGATAGCTTGCCAGTTGGATGATGATAAGCTTTGTAGTATTATACATGTTATGTTAAGTCAGTGAGTTGATAGAAGACCCACCCTGTATCTAAGATGACATGGCATAACAACACAGCCTACTTTGCATTTAGTTGGAGGCCTTATATTGCTGCTAGACTGCTAGCTAACATTACTGGAAGCTTCTACTGTGACAGCTGTGGAGCATCAGAGATCATGACTGGTAATTTTAGGCACACTTAATGGAAATGTTGCGACCATAATTGTGTCCATATCTGATTTCATATCGTACCTAGACCAAATAGATGGAGCAGTTTCATGAGGTTATTATTTTTTTTACCATTAAAACTGGAGTTAAAAGTCTATGGAGTTAGGAATATTTAAATACATTAATATTGATTTTACTTCCAGACTTGTAGGAAGTTTGAGACTTGTCCGGTAGTTTCAGTGTTAATGTATTGTTAATGAAATTCAAATAAGGTCAACTCTTGATAGGTCCTCCTGCTTCTGAACTATCAGGTCTTGAGTACCAAACCTGTTCAGTGCCATGATATTGAACATAGTAGTTTGACAACATTAGTCTTTATGTTGCAGATTCCCTTCACTGCAGTCATTACTTGTTCATGAATTTATCAGAAAGTCATAGCCCCTTCAGTCAACATTTTTGAAATAACGTGGTTAAATGAGCGTCACTTCTCTAATTTAATAATGAAAGGACTCTCATAAGACAAAACAAGAGGCCGGGGACATTTGGTATAACCCCAGCCCCCTCCCTCACCCAGAGTGGTCTCTTGAATTCCTGCTGTCCTTTTGTGAACCTTCAGCCCACTTTTACATCCATTAGTGAGGTGGCGTTATTCACCGTGTCCTCACTCGAGCTGGGTAAACAGACTGAGAGGCCGCTGTGGTTCAGAAGTATACAGCTTTCTCATAACAGCCTTATAGAAGGCGCTCTGTGGTAGAGAGGCCATTTGAGAGGAGATGGAGAGCGCAGGGCTGATGACTTGAGGCAGCTGTATGACCTATTACTTTGGAAAAATGGACTGGTGACCAGAAGATTGCTGGCTCATACTCTGCTCACCCTCTGCCCTTGAGCAAAGGCAATTAACCTGGATTCCTCCAGTAAATATCCAGCTGCAGAAACGGAAAGAGATGTGCAAGAGTGATAATCGTGTAAGTGACTTTGAATAAAAGTGTCCACTAAGCAGGACGATTAATACGGCTAATAGAATCATAGCTTGTGTTTTCAACTTATCAAGGACTGAGGACTGCTGAACATTCAGAGTATCCACGCTGCCTCTCTTGCTCTCATCTGTTCTTCATTCGCCTATCATTTGGAGAGAGAATAACCTGACTGGAGTTTTTAAAGCACAGTGTTATGAAAATATTTAAGTAAGGATACAATATCACTATACTTTATTTCAAATATGATGTGATGCTCAAGTTATGATGCATTTTTTGCATACCCCTGTCACTATATCAGACAGTCTTATCCCAGTGCTTGAAGGAGACCTTTTACTCATGTTCACCTTTTCAGCAGTTTTTTAGCCTTGATATACTTTGTTTTAGCTGCTTCACTACTGAGATAATGTTAGACACAGCTTTGAGGTGTTACTTTCTACAAGGCTATATAGTCATAAAATGGCCTGAAAGTCAAGCCTAAGGTTCGCACAGATGACAGATGGCATTTAATAGCATGGCCTGGTTTGCTTGTATTTTGATGAAGAAAATCAATCACTAGCACAGGCATTTGGATGTGAACCTGAAAGGAGGGCTGAAGGCTGGTTGTGCTGGCTCTTCTAGTGTTAGCCACACCTGTGTTAGATGAGTTGTGCTCAATTTTGAGAGATCTTATTGGCATTTTTTGTTTTTTTCTCAGATCTGTTTCGATTGATTTTACATTTTCATTTGAACAAGGAAACCGGTGGCTTCACAACTCTTTAAAATTCCCTCATTGTAAGGTCTTTGTCTAGATTTGTCTTTTGTGATTTCAACATGTTGAGACATGCTTATTGTAAACATATTTATTTTTTTAATAATTTTCCCTGTTAGAATGTTGATTAGGAACATTTTTACCAACATCTACTTTTTGAACCATTTTTGGAAGAAAGTTTATCTCACTTCATTTTTATGTCAGTCAAATGTTATGGGCAAGCAGTTTCGACTAACGGAATAATCAAAGATGGGATTTTAACCCCTTTTGCAATATAGTAAATTAACAACATCACAATTTTCATTCATCCTATTTTTAACACTGCTGAACATCATAATGAACTGAAATGCAGAACAGATCCCACCCCCTGCCCCAGTTCTCCATGCAACTACAGACATTCATATAGTCTTCTCTGTGGTATTAAGACGAGAGTGTGACCTTGACCTGATTGCAGGGGGCTTTTTAAGTAACTCACCAGAAGGAGATCCAATCATGTGACACCCGTCACCCAACCTCACCCCCCTATCCTCTCTCCTGACCTTGTATGTCGACAGGGATGAGGGGGTGGAGACACTCACTACGGGCATGCAATGCAGCTGCAGGGACTGTCATTCAATTGGATAATCACTCTTAGGTCACTATGGGTCAAGGTTAGGTCAGAAAGAGCGTTGTGTCTCCAACAGTCCCTGCCCCCCCCCTCTGAATTTTAGGAATGACTGGCCACAAGTTTGAGTGCGGTGACTAACTGAGCAGGTTTAGTCATCCTGTCGTTTCTTAATCACTGATACCAGCATATGTCAGGGAAAGGTTGTTTCATGTCCACAGTGATTCATGTCCAGAGTGAGCTGGCTGCTTGGATTTGTGTTATTGCAGTTGCCGTCACTCACTCCCTCCAGCTGCCCCGCTGTTAACACCACGTTGGCTCACTGGCTCACTGCAGAGAATGCTACTGTCTCTGCTCCAGAGTATTTTGATGTAAGTACACAAGCATTTCTGTCCTGTAGATGTTTTACATATGGTTGGGTTAATCCAGACTTCAACTGACTTTGTATAAGCATGCAAAAACACACCCCACCTGAGTGTTGGTCTTTTTATATGCAAATCAATCAGGTTGCAGAATAGCTTGTCTTTTAATTATGGGTGCAGAACTGAACTCTCAGATGCAGGAACTGTTTCCTCCAGGTGGTTAGTTAGGCTAGTTGAAGACTATTAAGATCAAAACAAGGTGTGTGTTGTTTCAGATGTGGCCTTTAGTGTGAGGAAAAACTCTCAGCCTAGTGTGCTGTATGTATAGAACTTGATCTTGGTGTAAATTTAAGCCTCATCTCTTTGATGGTAAAGGACGATTCTGTCTCTTTATTTGGGCTTCTGTCAGGGTATCTCCCCAAAATTAACCAACAGTTCCTTCCTTGGTTTTATGACTATTTTGATGATAAACTCAACTCAAGAGTCATATGATGCACAGTGTTGGATTCACCAGAACAAGACAAAACAATATATATGTTTTTTCTTCTAAATATTAAATGATGAAACACTTGAAAAACAGTCTTTCATCAGGAGTTTGTCTGTTTGAGTTTTTTGTTTTTATGGACTCTTAACACTGTGTGTCTTCACCTCAGTGATTATTAATGGCAAGAGCAAGCTTTCCTTTTTTTTCTTGTCTGGCTATTATCAATGTGTCCTCAAATAATATCTGTGTATGTTGAAGCTTTTTAGTCACACAGCTATATGCTGTAACCAAGACGTGAGGGTGCACTTCATGGTAAAATGTCTGTGCTGTATTACTCTCAGACTAAAACAGGAAACAGAACAACGTGAATATGGTCATTTGGCATTTAAATGGATTTGCGTGGCATCACTGTTAGCAAAAATTTGAATTAACAATCCCCCGAAGGTTAAATGTGCATTTGTAAATCAGAATATTTTCAAACACATCCAGTGGTAGGGAAAACCTGCCTGTTGCGTAAAGAAGACACACTCCAGCACTGTTTCTCACTGCATTCGACTGGTTTTGAATCAGCGCCTCTACCACACTGATGTCATGCTATGTTTGAAGAACAGTGCTCTTCATGACTGTATAGAAGACAGAAGATCAGGAAAACTCTGCGTCATGGACTAATCTTGCAAGTCGGCATTGTTTTGCTGAATTGTAGTGAGTTCTTGTGGTGCAAGATCCCATCAAACCCTTTGTTCAAACCTTAGTAATAACGTGACTTAAGTCTTTTAGGTAATCATGTGCAGGAAAATTAAAATATTTGATTCAGCAGACACCTACAAGTAAAAACAAGATTATCTTTTATCCCGAAAAGTCTTATAATTTGGAGCAAAGGAAAATATTTCTACATCCATTTTTCAGATGTGCTCATTTTTTTATTAGTAGACTGCCAGGATGTTACTTTCATCTGCAGTATAATTGCAGAATCAAATCTTGTAAAGTTTCAGGGTTATTAAGGCCTTTATTGGACTATCTTCAAATGCCTTGGATTCCTAAAATGTAAAAATCTCTGGCTAACATAAGTTCAGCCTCAGTTATTTATTCACTTATTTTTTTACATAACTGAATTGTGTAAGAAATTATCTCCTGGCAGGGCGGAAAGTTCTCCCTTTATTGAAACTTCTTGCCTTTAACAATAGTTTTTGTTTTTTTAATCAATTTTGCAAAATAGTGCTGAATAGAATTACGTCATGGCATTATGATCCAAAACACAATCATAAGACAGAATAATTCAAAATAATACAGCTTAGTGTTGCATAAAAACACAATGAAACTGAATAACATTGAGCAAAGACAGGAATAAAAATGACCCTTACGTTGTTGGTGTAGCTACAGTAAATCCAGCATTATATTAAAGATGAAATGATTATTTGTAAAGGTAGCCTGGCTTCAGTGTTACATCTGATATTAAAAGTCTGCTCACAGGTCTCGAACAACTTATTTCTAGCATTGTTTTTTCCCAGAAATGTACTGTTTCTTCCCTCTCTACGGGAATAAGTGTCATTAATTCCCACAAGCTGTCCTTCTTATCTCACTGTAGTTTTATTAGAAAAGAGCCTGAAACATGCCTTATTCTCCAGCTCTAATAAAACTTGCTGATTGTGGGCTTGAAATAGTAAGGCACTGTATCAAGCTGTGGCCACTGCAATGGTGACACAGAGACTTTAGAGGGGAATAAACGATCCAGAAGAGCCTGTGTGCTGAGTATCTGTCTAAAGCTCTCAAGTTCATTAGTATTTTTAACACTGTTTACTTCAGGTACAAACTTATTTCTCTGTTTTACTTCAGTTAACGCACATTTTTGCTCAAACTTTCATTCAGTAGTTGTTTTTAGGTCTTTTCCTTCAAATCAGGGACGGCCCAGTGGGACTCTAGCTTCATACTTATACTGATTAGCACAACAGTGTCTTTTTAGCTTACATAAAAGTGATCACCTGCTAGGATCTGACATTTATAATCAGTCACAAATCTCTACCTGACTGGGTGCACCTGAAGCTCACACGTACAGCAGAGGAGTCTTAAAGCACCTGTTCAGTTTAGATGTTGATGATCAGATTGAATCCATCCAGGGTGCATCCTACAGCATGGGAATAAAAGTATCTTAAGAATGGAAAGTCATAGTCAAAGTCAAGTAATACATTTCAAGCCTCCACATGGAAAGATCTCACAAAAACCCTAACCCTAGTCAAAAACAACAAGTAATTTAATCAAATGTTTAACAGATAAAGTTATTAGATGTGGAGCAGCAAAGAGAGATACAAGCTCATGTAACACTGGCAGCAGCTCAGCTCACAGCCCCCAGAAGCCCCTCTATGAAGAAACACTGTTTATATAAAACAGATAACAAGGATTGAAATTAACTTTTTTTTAGTGTTTCTTACTTTAGAAAGTTAAGAGCACCTGCAAAATTTAGAAGCGGATGTAGTGTTATCCAGTACGGCCTCCATTCCACAGGCTTTACAGTTGACACAGAGCATTGAGCCATTTCTGCGACAATGCGGAGTCAGACCTGAAAGAGACTACAGTAATCAGAGTCATGTGTCAGTCACTTGTAGTTTTAGAACAATTGGTGGAAATCATAAATCTATATTTGGATTTATTGGACTTTATTTTAAGCCCACATCGTCCGGCTCTACCTTCAGCACTAAAGCAACCCCCCTCCAGGCAAATTCATGTTAGTAGCAGCTCAGCTCACAGCCCCTCCTCATCTCTTGTGGCAGAAGAGCTTCACAGAAACTCCAAATTTTGAACACTCCAACACTGGCTAAAGTGGAGCGAGCTTCTGCTGATAATCGAGATCCTCATTTAACCTTAAGGGGTAGCTCAGCTAGCCACCCTGCCTGATATCCTTTATCTGTTAATGAATGCCAAGAAAACACAGATGCTGGTCATAAAACTGCGTAATACAGTATCTTTACTGTTGTTAGTTATAATCAGCCATAGAGAAATGCAGAATACAGCTTTAGAAATGAGTATTGGCAAACTATAGCGCATGCTAGTACAGTATTTTAAGTTTGACCTTTGGGCTTACTGCATCATCAGGATTCTCAGAAAATGTATCATCATTAAATTACAAAAGAGTAAATGCAGAAGTATTAGAATGATCTCCTTTTTGTCGTATCGGTCCTGTTGTAAAAGCCTACTGTGTCCAAAGAGCAGGCTAACACACGTCGCTGACTCGTGTCATTTTGAGTTGAGCCTTGTTTGTGTTATAAAAAGTCTTGGAAGCTACAGTAAAGCCTGTAAAGCTTGTATAACATGAGATACTTTTTTGCACATGAACATACACACACTCGCCTGCTCACGTATACACACACACACACACACACACACACACACACACACCTGGGGTTAGCACAGAGGAGCTGTGTGCTTGTGTAACTGTGTTTACACGTCTGGGGCTGGTGCTGGCACAAGAGCCAGACGAATGTGGTTTATCCAGGGCCTCTTTCTCTCTAAGCCACCTTCACTTCTATTCAGCGTTGACCTTGGTGCTTATGAGGAGGCAGGGCCTGACCTACATCCACCCTTTTAACTGGAGCTAGAACCTTCACCAGCCCCCGCCAAATAAAGAGACCTGACACCCTATTCTGCTTCCTTTAACGGCCATTTTCTCTCAGTTTCTGGTCAGATTTTCTGCGCTTTACTGATAAAAAGGTAAGATAGAGCAGAGCAGCATGTCTGACAGCAGAGGAAAGTGGAGCAGCGGCCTTCATGACTCGTCTCTGAGGCACCAACATGTCTGTGTGCACTGGGTCACCATTAGCACGCAGAGGCTTAGCACCAGGCTGGTGAGAGTTTAGCGGCAGGTCAACCCTCCTCTGGTTTTTAAAGTGGAGTGTCAAACTGTGGCTGATGCAAATGAGCATGCACGCAAACACGTGTTGTCGCTAGCATCTGGTGGGACTAATGTTCTTCTGTGGATAAACTGGGTGACACTGGGGCGCTAACATAAGGCACGCTAATGTCCGCAGAGTTATTTGACAGGAAGTTTGTGTAACCAAAATTTTCTCAGACATGCTGTGATTTCTAATTTGAAAGGCATATTGGAGAATAGTTCACAGCTGCTGCTGGACATCAATTTATTATCAGGATAGGAATCAAAGTTGTTGTGGCATCAGTACTAAGCATATCAGATGTTGCTACTGATGTCGTTGATTGCATTTCTATCTTGTCATTGTGTTAGGCATGACAGAGTGCAGAGAGGTTGTCATGTTTTTTTGTGATAGAAGTAGAGCAATGTTGGATTAGAAAGCTGAACTTAAAAATTTGTGTAAAAAATACAAAAACAAAAAAAGCTAACCCCATACCAGAATGAATAAAACCTTTATAAAGAGTGTTGGGGGGACCAATGTTTTCCACGAAGCAACGATACCTGAATAGGCCACTAAAGTATATTTTCAGCTGCCCGAGTATATTCACCACTTTTTTCAGTATTTTTTGTCTAAAAGAAATCACCATCAGTGAGGTATATCAGGAATACCCAGAGTGACAAACTTATTCACAGTGTTTTGACAGGGAGACAGAACGAAACTACATTAAAGACAATGCACACATTTTAGCACTGTGAACAAAGCACTGATTTCTGGGTAAATGTAAGACTGATAATCAGTGGAGAGCAAAAACGTCTCCCTCTGAAATTACAACTTTTTGCACACAATACAGACTGATAGTTTTACATGTTCATTAACTTGTAAACAAAGGCCAAGTCTGGTAGTGTTTTCATATTTATTTTTGCATGTTTATGTGTTGATGGGTATGTTGAGGGGGATTCTGCAGAAAATGTTTGGAACCACAAAGTCTCATCAGTCTGGCACAAGGTTGCTTCTACATTCATTTAGATGCAGTGTTTCATGATAAATATGAACCGTCTCTTTGCACTGTTTCAAAAGTTATGTGCGGCTGATTGTTGCAGGTGTCAGTCTGCACCTCTTGGTTTTGTATCATTGCAAACATTACATCATTCACAAACTTTATCCACATACGAGTTAATATTATTGAAAGATCAGAAACATACAGAGAAAAGAAAGCAGGAGGCTGGGCAGACAGCACTTTGTGTTGAGAGGAAATATGTCTTGCGTGTGCCTGTTTTGGTGTAGAGATAACAAAAGTAAGATTAAATAATTAAAGTAGTTTGGGAAAACACACTCAAAGTTGTAGTATGTAATTTTATTGCTTTGTGGTTGGCCGAATGTTCCCATTTCAACACACTGTACATCATTGTGTGGGATGATATTTCATCACAGTTTAATGTGTAAATTTTACTTATTTAAAAGAGAATAACTCCAGAAAGAAGCCATGGTTAACCTCCATAATTAGAAGAAATAAATGAATGAAAAGAGCATTGATGAGTGTAATCAAGGTTTCAAATCCCTTTTTTGACTTATTTATTAAAATAAGTCCAAATTTAAAAGTATTTTCTGTGTCAAAATAGATGTTGAGAAATAATAAATATGGCCATTTGAACCAAAACAAAGGAAAGTACTGGTCAAAAACATATATATTGGAATTATTTTGGCTGATATCAAATCGCACTATTACTGGATTAAAAAGGTCAAATCTGTTAGTACATCTGGAGGACAAAATACATACAACTGAATCATTTCTGCAGCATTACAGTCCTACTTCATAATGCTGTTTTATTACACGTTTAACCTTTGACAAATATTTGCAGATTCTGGAGATTTGGGTATTGCACTTGGCCATGTTACAACTGATTATTTTGAGATTAAATGTGCAGCCCTAATGCTCACATGCAATACAGCATTTAACCAAATAACACAAGAAACAACAAAAACATCCCATCAGACATAAAGATTAAGAAGCTTTAGTTTGTTCTCTCACATGAATGTTCAGACTTAAGTCCGCGCACGTACCAGAGAATAAAAGTACAAAAGGAAGGACAGAAGTAAAAAGCAGAGGTAGTTGAAGTAGTTCTGTTCAGTTCAGTGAGGGTCTTTAAAGGTAAAAGGTTTTTAAAAGGTAATAATTAAATGTCACTCTCCCTCCTGCAAATATAGCCCTCGAACAGAAGCTAAACAAAGGTTGCTACGCGACACCGAGACAGGAAGGCCTGAGTGATGAGCGATGATTTTTGGCTGGCGCATTAATATTTAAATTAGCAGTCAAAGGTGTGCGTTGATGAGGTATTTCACACAGGCTTCAAACACTGATACACAGGGCGTTGCAGAACACACTATCTGTTTTATAAATGAATGAGAGTGTTGTCAGAGAGAGTCCTGGTTAATGTATGGAGGGATTACTAAAGCAATGCATGAGTGAACGCAGCTTAATGAGGGAAGGTTTGCATGAGAGCAGCGCCGTGCGTGATCTCAGATATATCATGAGCTGTCCTAACCCACACTCAGGCATTCGAGGGGGGCCAGTGTCATGCTACCAGGCATTAGGGCAGCTCCCGGCTCAGCTAGCCTCGTAATATCCCCCCCAAGCCAAGATGGGCTCATCATTTTTTCAGGCTGGATGACATGCAATACCTTCACGGGTGTTAAATGACCGCAAAAAGGAGTGTGTATGTCTGTGTTTAAATAAGGCAGAGGGTCCCATTTAGCATTCTGAGAAAGACATGAGATAATGGACACCTAGGAGGGGAGATGTTGAAATTAGGGGGAGGGGTGCAGTGTGGGGCCTGGAGATGGTTATACTTTAGGAGAGGTGGGAATTACAGCTCTTTTTAGTCAGTCGGATCATCTGACCTTGCTCATTTGCATGTTTTTAAAGCTCCCTGTCACAAATGGGAGAAGATTGTGGAAAAGTTTTCAGTTTGGAGCATTTTCGACATAATTGTTGAACTTTTTCAGGCAGCGGTTGATCACTCTGTATCCCAGGAGGATTTATTCCAAGTTTTAATATACAGCGTACATAAACAAGTAAATAACATAAAAGAGAGGAGTTTTAGTAGAAGCTTGTTCAGCTCAGACCACAAAAAGATTTGTTGTGTGTTTTAGCACTTTTCAAACGTATCCTCTCAATAATGCGGTGTGATGAAGCTGCAGGGTTAGGGTTCTCCATCCAAGGCTTTCCAGTACCACCACTGCCCTGCACCAGTGCCCTCAAATACAGCCCCACCATCTCCCCAGGATCGAACTGCAGAGCCCCCATCTGTAGGCATGTGAATATTTTTGAAAGCAAACGTATTTCCCTTGTGACTTACACTTACATCCATACACCAAAACGGCTTGTTTTGTCTGCATTTGAATACCCTTTTTTTTTTTTTTAATCCTGATGTCAATACCTGGACGTGCACATAACAGCTGTTGTAAATATTTATGTCAGTCGTTGCTGACATGGTTTTTAATGAGATTATATGATTGTGTGGAACTAGATTAGATATTTGTACATCAACTTATTCCATGGACAGTAATGCCGTGTGAGGCCAGGTGAGAAATGCAAATAATTTCCTGCTTTAACATTTTAAACAAACTGAACGTGAGACGACTGTCTGAACTGAATTCCTTTTGAGAACTTTAAAACTAAGAAGAATTTAACCCATTTTAACCTATTATTGGTGGTTATGCACATAAATATTTGATTCAACAATCACCGATAGTTCCCAGAAAACCATCATTTTTATCAGAGTCTCACATATCTGAACTTGATGATGACTCACTTCTTTAACACTTCAGAGTTGGGTTCAGAGTTGGGTCAGTAGGATGATTAAAAAAACAGACTATGATAATGGAAATGTTAAATAAGAACAATCTGAAATATCTAGGTTACTTGATAATAAACTCCATACGGACACATATTTGATTTTCTTTAAGTCTGATGTCATGAATGCCAAGTTGAGTTGTTTAAACTAATGTAACGACCAAAGTGAGTCAAATCAAGTTTAAGAAACAGTTTTGAATCCTCCCTCTTATCGTGTCTTTTATTTATTAACCTCCTAAAATAGAAACAATTTAATTCTAAGAAGGGAGCTGCCACCTCTTGTTCTCTTCAAGTCGAGTCTTTCTGAAGCAGCACATCACTCCACCTCAGCAGCCGTTGTTGTGCAAAGGCGTAGGAGGATTTTTTTTTCCACCCGACATACAGCAGGTCATCTGATAAGAGTCGCCTGCGTTCAAAAGGCCACAGGAATGCATGGCTGAAACACAGACTCATCCGAGAGAAGCCTCTGAGTCTGTCTTTTTCAACTTCTTCTCTTCCTTTGTTTCTCTCTCTCTCGTACTGTCTCCCTCGATCATGCTCTGCAGAACTCCTCGCACGATCTTAGGGAGGGGAGAGAGAAGAAGGGAAAAAAAAGAGGAGGAAAAGTGGGTCAGGGCGACCTATTTTTTTTCCCACAGTTCACGGAGGCAGAGGGTGGCGGTGTTATCGTCAGTTAGACGAGGAGCAGGGCCTGATGGGGAGGCAGGGCCTTGTCGCGAGACGCAGCCACTCAGAACTGGGTCAGCGGCAGAGGCTACGTCTTGTAAACGGCTTGTCATACTGGGGAGAAAAGCTGCAAATGAACCATAGATTATACGCCCCAAGCTGAGCACTGAGGTCTCTCCTCTCTCCTCACACACACACACACACACACACACACACACACACACACACACACACACACACACATACACACACATTTAAAAAAAAAAAAATCACACACACACACACATACACAGGCACATAGGAGCCTTACAGTAGCTTACACAGGAGTCTGTGAAGCTCTGCCACCTCCTTTAAGTTCCTCTCCTCCCCTCTCAGTCTTCAGTAATATGGTTTGATTACTGCAGTCAGACCTTTAAGTGAAGGATCTTTTCACATTCCTCCCTCTGACACACGGGTTTGCTGTTTTCTAAATATAGGCCACTTTCTCCCAGATTTGCTCCACTCTATTCAGGTCAGGTTATTTACTGTACCAAGTTCAACTGTGGTTTAGAAATGAGCAATACAGATGCTTATTCAGCTGCAATGACCTCTTTGCATATCATCCGTGCCAAAGCCAGACATATGAGAAGACAATTTGCCTGCATGAGCCCCCTAAGGAGGTATTTTTCTGATCAAAAAGCAGCTTTCATTCAAACCTATTGCTGTTTTTTTACATCATCCCGTTTAAATCGATCTGAAATACAACAGCTCCAGCCTTCATTCCTGCTGCAAACAAATCTCAGAATCCTGTTTTCTCTACATGTTTTTGTAAGATTGTTTATGACCTCTTTAGGTTACGTCATGTGCTGCAAGAAAAAAAACAGCGTAAAAAATGGGAATAGCGGTAAAATAGACCCGAGAGATTAACGTTATATAATCTTGTTGAAATTACTCTAAAACAAGAGTGTAAAAGCAGGAGTCTTCACTCTATATGCAGCCAAATGCTTAGACTCTCTAAATTGAAGTTGTGCACCTGCTTGTTAGTGCTTGACTGTGTGTTAGGTGCTGTAAAAAAAGAGAAAAAAAAGTACAAAAATTCTTCAGAATCCAGAGATGTTTTTCTCCACATATTTTAAATCATGACCTACATATGATGAAATCTGAACTGGATATTGTCCAAACAGTGTTGTAAAATGTCATATTTAATCTCCACAACTGGATCACTTCGATACCATCAGAATATGGAGTTTATATCATTTTTCGATGTGACTGATGATTGCCACACGCAACATTTCTCAGTATTCTCACTGCTTCAGTGACAAAGGATGCTGATATGCCACAGATCTGAGAGTTCATGCGTTTTAATATATGGCATAGGAGTATATTTCGACATTTCACTCAGACATTTGGTCAGTATTTGTACTGATAAAGCATATTGGTAAGTCTCCTTGTGGTACAGATATGATCCAGTTTTGGTAAGAATTTTTGGGTAAAAGAAAAAGATAGTTGACTAATATCAGTTTTTCTGCTGCTGATAAAGGACATTATTGATTTTTTTTTTTTGCATTTGATAAACTTCAAGGATTCAATAACAGGAAAAGCTAACAGGACACTAAATTGCTGAACTTCCCTGATGCTGACTTAGTAACATATTGCCGTCCATTATTATTAAGATATTAAAATAATTAAGGCAAATATTATATTTGGGTGGTATTCTTTTCCACCATTAACATGACAATCAAGTGCACACAGCTATCTTGGCTTGTAAAATATTTTCAAAAAATTTTGTATTAATCTGTGAGCTCTTTAAATGTATTGGGTGTGCTGTGAATTTCAGACCGCGAATGATGATTATGTTAGCGGCAGTATTAAACCGATTATTTTATATTATATATATAGAATTAAACACCAGCCAGTAACTGTTTCAGATTCGAAATGCTGTAACTTGGGATGAAGAAAATGTCATTATTTAGAAAAGATGATACAAACTGAAGATTTAGTTGTAGTAAAAACACAGGGCTCTGAAACTCACTTTATCACCACTGTCCCCAGAACTGTTTGACCACAGCCACACTGTTGAGGCTGCAGTCAAACAATAATACCTGCAGTGTCTGCAGAAATATTCATTTTTAATCGGCCTCTAGAGTGCAGATATCTGCCAGTTCAAATCATTAAACGTTCGACCGGTTACTCAGTCTATCTAAAGAAAAAAAATCTCTGGATTCTTGGGATCTGATAGTGAAAGGGTGTAAAACAAAACTGCAGTTTGAAAATGGCAATAGGAGGTAACTGTTTACAGACTCCTGTTCAGTAATTAATTATCTGGATAAAATAGTTGAGAAAGTGCCTCTTTTATGTCTTAACAAAACACGGAGGCTGTGGTTCACTCATGATGTTTATATGTCTTGATACAAAGGTTTTTAGCAATCTGATACAAGTATTGACCAAGCTTTTTATTCAAGTTCTTCTCGTATTTTTATTTGGGTGCAAACAATAAATCAAATATGAAGCATTGGTTGTAAAGACTCCACTTAAACATGTATTTATTTTATTCATTTTCTATCAGGTAGAGAAAACAGCACATGGTCACATGTCATATTCAGTTACAATTCATTTTCAATGCAAACCTATCGGCAGAAGGTGTTGTGCGTATTAGCAGGGGGGCTGTGGCCTTTAACCAGGCCTCAGAAAGCTCTTTTTTGAAGGTGGGAATACACAAAAGCCACCTCTAACACAGACGCAGAGGGTGAGAACTTTTTACAGGTAATTATCCAAACATTGGAGACAAAGCCCAAGTCAAGGAACCAAGGATATAAGTATTTCAAAACACCTGAAGACATTTTATCGCTACAATCAAACATATTGGTCTTTGTATAGATGGGCTGTTTTCTATTATTTTCCGTAGTTGAAAGGGTTAACTTGCTTTGGTTAACTTGTCAGAGGAATTTACATCGCTGCAGTGCAGCTGAATCAGATTGATGTAAAGTTACAGCAAGATTTATTGGAGGGTCATTTTGCTCATGTTTATTTTGCAAATTGCCCCTCAGCTGCAGGCAAGAAAATTATCCACAGACAGCTCTTATATATTTTGATATTGATTTCAAATGTGTCTGAGCCACGGCTCATTGTTTCACATCCTTTGTGTCTCGAACAGACAAAGCAGGATAAACACTGGGTTTGATCTCCCCCTCACAAATAATCGCTGTGGCTGTTGTATTGAGCTCAGTCTGGAGAAGTGGGGCTTATTCCTGCATCGCCCTCTGCTTATGGAGCGATGCAATTTTCAGGCAGTCGAGCTCACTCATATTTCACTATGTGGAACAAATCTGCCTGTAATGAATCTCCCAGGACACTGTGGTGCCTCCACAACCCAGCCTGCTTTTTGGCTCCTCTGAAGGAGGGGGGGGGGTCTATAGTGGGGGCTTTTAATATTTCAACACAGCAATGTCCCTGAGATTAAAGCGAGACTTTTGTTTTTGATGGGAGGGATTTCACAGCAAAGAAACACCAAGTTCATCAGAGATTTGGTCTTTTTTTCCGCTCCCTTTGGAGTCCCGGTTTGAGTCCAGACTCATTTTAATCATTTTGGTCCCGCTCTGGGTAAAAAAAAAAAAAGCTCTATTAGCCGAGGTGTCACACTAACAAACATAACATAATATCCTGAGGTGGGGCTAAACATGGCGGGGATCGGATTAGCAAAGAGACTCCAGTGAGTACACACACCCGGCTTTCCTCGGTGTCACAGCTCCCAAGTCCTCCCTGCCTCTGCCGGGCAGTGGACCTGTCTCGTGTTATTCTTAGCCGCAGAACTTCATGTCTCTGTGCGAAAGCCCCTTAACGCTAATTGAAGAGGCTGCTCATAGCTCATGTCGCTCAACAACAGCCTCCGAGGGGGTTTGTGCGTGTCACCGTCTGTCTTTCTGCGTATGTGTTTGTGTGAAGGTGAGACCTGCTGAGCAGTAAAACCAGTCAGAACCAGTACTCGGCCACTCCAGTCGGGGTTGTGTTGTTGTTGTTGTTGTGTGTTTTTCTGATAGGGAGTCACAGCGCTTTTAGCAGATGGTTTCCAGCAGGCCTGCGTGTGACATGTGATAACATTACAGTTCTGAAAGGTCAGGCATGAAGGGAACCAGTAGGAGGGCTGGTCCAGTCTTAGAGAGCCCAAAGCTGCACCACAACCCCCTGCAAACACATGTGCTCAGACTACCACGCATGTTCAAAAGACAAGAGTCCTTTTTATGGCTCCTCAAACAGGCAGGATTGAACACATTGGCTCTAACAGGGTAATGTAAATATTTACAGTATTACTTGAACCCTGGTGACCAGAGTCACGGTCCCAGGAGGGGTGCCGCAATATTTACATGCTCATGAAAGCCTTCTTTGTGCTTTAACAGTAGACAACTTTAATGCTGCGCACACATGGTTTTTGGCCTGCAGTCCAGAGACAACACCTGCAGGAAAAACATATGAGACGTTGGCTTAAGAGCAAAATAAACGTGACAGCTTGTTTTGTCATGATGTTTTACTGACCCCATTTATAAGAAAAGAAAAAACTGTAGCTTTTTTATTTATTTATTTTTTTTTAATTTCTGTTTTCTCTCCTGCATGTCACCTCTTGCTCTCTTCCTATTTCTTTCTCTTGTATTGTTTTATCCTATGAGGGCACAAAAAGATGTGAAAAATAAAAATTCAAGCACGTTTAATTTGAAGAAGCACAAACTCTTAGAATGTATCTGGATTCACAATAAGTATTGGATTATCAGTTTTAGAAGTGCCTGACCATCTTTTGGAGAGTTGCTACAGCTAGCTTAAAGCCGCTGCTCCTCCTTTGTTGTTTTCCCACCATAGCAGGTGACAACTTGCATAATGACCTCTACCACTCAGTTATACAGTGCTTTATGTCAATATATACTGTACTTTTTTTCAGTAAAGGTTACTGCCAATGCTGCTGCATTATGACAGCTCTACATCCAAGATAAAGCAACAGATTTTTGGACTAGTCCAGTTAGCTTTTCTCACAGGGCTACATGAGCAATCTGAACAAGACACAGTCCCTAATTTTAGAGCAACACCGCCTCTGTCTTTTGGACAAACATTAACTAAGGATACAAGTGTAGTTCATGTCAGAGCATTGGTTAGCCCTGCGGCCTCACAACAAGTAGGTTCCTTGTTTTCATCCCCAGACCTGGACCTCTCTGTGTGGAGTCTGCATGTTCTTGTACTCAAGCTTGCTCCCACAGTCCAAAGACACGCTTGTTAGCTTAATTGGTGACTGTGGATTGCTCGTAGGTGTAAGTGTGAGCGTGACTGGTTGTCTCGATGTGTCAGCCTTGTGATAGACTGGCAACCTCTGCAGGGCGAATTCTGCCTCTTGCTCAATGTCAGCTGGGATCGGCTCAAGCCCCTTTCAACCCCTGATGGGAAAAGACCATAGAAAACAGATAGAGGTGTAGTTTTGATTGAAATGTCCATATTTGGTTGGATTTGATTGAAAGGACTCAAATGGACATTGATTTTCTTTACCCAGTAAGGATGTTTTTTCTTGCCAAAAGGATGAAGAACTCTGTGTGTGGAGATTGGTGTTTTTCCTATGCATGCATGGGTGCCCCACCACAGTCTAGAGACGTGCTTGTGTAAAGGGTTAACTGCAGACAAGTTGTGCCCTGCCTCTTGCCCCGTGACAGCTGGGATTGACTCTAACCTCCTGCAACCCCTGCTGGGAAGAGTAATACAGAATATGGTTGGCATTTGGTGCGTTTACTTGGTAACATTTTCAAAATAAAAGCATGGCAAACAGACATACTCTTTGATGTCAGGACAATAAAATGACGTCTTGTTAGCTGTCTACTATCTGCTTGACTCCATGTGAATGCTGCCTAATCTAAGAGCAGAGTAGGTCAGTGCACAGCCAGACTTTGGACCCTGGACTTTGATGTTTTCTTTGGAAGAACAGAGGTCTTTATTTGTTCCGAGTAGGTCAACATCAACCTGTTGAACCATGACTGTAAGGCGCCACCCATTGTCTATAGCCGAGAGCCTTGATGGTCCTGTAAGCCTGCGCTCATCCTTGAACAGAGGCGGGATATTTGTTTTGAAGCTACAGGTCACTGTGTGCCGGCAGCTCGTGGAGGAGGGCGGAGGGAGAGGAGGCTGGAATTTTTCTTGTACGTAAACAACACCTCTGGAGTGGACAGCCATGTCATCACACAGGTGTACTCCATAAAGCAACCCCCTCCTCCACCTCCCAGGCCCCCTCCTGAAATGGCATAAAGAAGAAGAAGGAGGAGGACGAGTGGGTTTAAAAATAAACCCGCGCAGGCCGGTCAGACATTTTGAAATTCTGTTTCTATCTGCGTCTGATAGAGAGGTTAAAGATACAGCATCCTGATAAATCTCTTCCCACCAGGGGGAACAGATAAGGAGTGGCGTAGATTGAATAAAAGAGCCGAGGAGAAAGGGGGAGGATAGGTTGGAGGGGTGGGGGGTGTAGGAGGAGGAGGAGGAGGGCTGAGATGTCTATCAGGCTGCATGAAGGGTTTTTTTTTGTCTTGCAGATCCAGTTCAAGGGCGCCCGCAGGCGAGGCAGCTCTCGCTCTTGCCGTGCCAACGCTGCTGCTCAAGGTCATATGAGCCAGCCCTGTGACATTAAAGAGGAACAGGAAAGGGGAACATAGAGGAGGGGGGGGGCGAAACCATCAACCACACACACACACACTCGCACTTACAAACACACACACATACACACAGGAATGAGTTGTAAGGAGAAAAAGTAGCCTTTAACTCCTTGAATCCTCCCTGTGACTTTCTGCACCGCTGTCTGGCTCTGCTGGATTTTGTCGGGGCGAGAGCTTTTTAAGGGCAGTAATGAGAGTGTCTTATTCTCTCTGTGCAGAGCCAAGAGATGCTCGGCTAACTGCTTTGTAGTTGCCAGACACACATACAAAGAGGGTGTGTGTGTGACAGAGAAAGAGAGAGAGAGAGAGGGAGAGCGAGGGGGGAAAGATGGAAGAGAGAAGAGTCAGAGTGATAAACCTCGAGGGAGGGAGGTAGAGAGGAGAAAAAAAGGTCTTAAAGTTATTTAAAGGGACAGCCAAGCAACGGCAGTTACTTCCACTTGCTCCTCTGTCGACAGTTGAGAGTAAAGTGTGTTTTTAGCTCGAGTGGATTTCACCGTTTTTGACCACTCCAGAGGGCAAACACGCTGCTGTACATGCAGACTGAGGAGCGCCCACCAGCAGGTGGTTTCACATGGAAAACAGAGCGGAGAAATAACACTGTTATTTCTCACTTCTTCACACTGATAAGCTGCCGCAGCTACTTGTCTGTGAAAAGATCATAAACACTTTGCATACAAATCTAAGAGACTTTATAAAACATGAATGCACTCTCTCTCTCACAGGCGTTACTGCGGTAGTCGCCATCTTTGAAATGCTGACTTAACTAACCTTCCACTAATTTAGAAACTGGCAAAGAGCTGATGGTTTGAGCCTCTCAGCAGACAGACAGACAGACACAATGGGTCAAACTATCAGTCAGATCAGCCATGCTTCTAATTTTGTCTCATTATGCATCAACTCTTAACCTTAATACAACCTTAATTCCATAAGAGTTATGGCACTGCGTGAAACGTTGATACAAACTCAATCAAATGGTTTTCAATCATCTAAAGCCTGAGTTTAAATGAAAAATGTGCAAAGACAACAAATCAATTGAAAAATATCTGCTCTTTTTGAATTTGACCCTGGCAATGTGTTAAAAAGAAACCATAAATGGGACATCAAAGCACTGAAAAAGTTGTGTTGCGCTAAAATCAATAAATAAATGTATATATATTTTTAAATCTAATTACATTATCTTCAACAGGTTAAGAACATGGCAGGGTATTAAAAGGCCATCCTAGGTAAGCTGAGTCTCTCAGAAGTAAAGGGAGATTCACCATTCATCAGCAACCCATGTTCCTCACAGTCAAACTCCAAAATAATTTAAAGATTTCATCTACAGTTCATCACATCATTAAAAGACTCAGAATCTGGAAAAATCTCTGCTCAAAAAAAAGAGAAAAGGACCAAAACCAATACTGGATGGGCAGGCACTTGATTAACATCAGGCAAGACTTTGTAGTGGAAATCACAGCAAAAGCTATAAAAAATTACATCCAAAAACCACTGTGAACATCTATGTATACGAACACAGTTGACTGATTTATCAGCAAATGCAGGTTTAGATGCACTGAGATGTACTTTTCCCTAACCCTAGAATAATTTAACTTTTTGCTGAATTGTTATTTAAAGATAATTAACTATAATGTCAGGCCTACAAAGCTCTGTTATAATACAGAGGTAGTTGGTTCCCAAAGTCCTCATTTGAACAAATGTGCAGTGGTAAAGAAAAATGAAAGAAATCAGGTCTTTTAACAGATTATGTTTTGTCAAGTCAGACCAGAAAAGACAAATACCAAATTGTTGATTTGATAAGGGTTGAATTCCTGACAAATGTAAGAATCTATGTCTAGTACAATTAGCAGTCTTTCATACCTGATAAAGCTTTTACATTTTGTTATTCTGAGGATCTGTCAAAAAGTAGCTGTGAGAGCAAACAATAAGTGCGCTCTACAACTCTACAGGTGAAATTGGGTTTGCCAGGATAAAATGGTTAACAACCATTTTATCCTGGACCTTTTTATTTAAGAGTGTCCACTTTTTAATCACTTTTTATATGGCCAGTGCTTGATATGGGTTACTAACTGCATAACTTAAAATAACTCTTTACTAATCAATCAGTTGGCTGATTTTGTAGAGGAACCTGCAGAGGCAGTGTGCAAACTTCACCGTATAAAGCTACAGAGACAATGTTCAGAGCAAAGAGGTGATACATGTATTTAAACAAATATACTGGGTTAATTTTGCATGAAGTCAGATGAGGCGAGTCATTGTGATGGGACAGTTGTACTCTGTGGGGTGAGTCTGTCTCACAGTTAAAGGAGGGAAAGAAATATCCAAACAGCCTCACCACTTTATACGTTTTTATCTATTTTATATCTAATTTGATATATCTACAGTTTGGTTAGTCTTTTACCGGTGTGCAAAAGCCAGACAGGCATTTTCTCTTGTCTGGCCTCTTGCTCCGTCTCTCTCCCTCTTTCTCTCTTCTTTGTCAGTGACCCCTCTGGCCTCTTCACCTCTGCCAGGATGTCTGTACTAAGAATAACCAGCTAAGACAGCAGCAGGAGGCGTTTGCCTTGAGGGCTCTCTGCCAGAAAGCTGTGCCATAACTTTGCCTGTGAGGTCGTCCCCACTGAACTGGAGTTACACAGTGGAAAAGAGTGGGAATGACAGAGACGCCACTCTCCTTTTCATGAATCTGTGAACCGTCAGATGAGTTCAGAAGTGATTTGAGGTTTATGAGCTTCATCAGCTACTGTTTGTTTGTGTTGTTTTGACGTCACAGTAACAAAAGTGAGCTCATCACTCCTTGCCCTGCAGGTACACTGAGAGCATGGATGATAAAGTGCACTTGTTAGAGTATCTGTTAGCTGACTTGCTCGTCCACATTGTGTTTACATTGTAGTCATGTGTCCATCGGTCAATCACGTATCGGCTTGCAGTGCCTGTTACAGAACAATGTCTACAACAACACAGAGTATTTCAGATCAGGGGTGCATTTAAGGCAGCAGAGCAGTTCACCTTTTTACCTCAAGAGGCAGAGTTCAAGTCTGTGTTTTTGGCAGCATCCTGTCTGCGTTAGTGATTTGTCATTAAAGGAAACACCGAATCACTTCCAGCTCCACTTTGGAGGCTATGTAACTGACCTCTGACCTCCCGATTTAGGTTGTAGCGGTGTCCTAGTATGAGAAAAACCTCCAATGTCTAATTTTTTTACCAACATACAATAAATTAAAAGAACAAGGTGAAAGCAATTTGTCGAAAAGATAAGGTTTTGTTTTTGGGAACAGAACTAATAGCCCCCCTATCATCTAAATTTCCTTGCAGATGTAAAAGAACGGGCAGACGTTGTACGAGTCCACAAAGTCAGTCAGGCCACTAATGGAGCTGCTTCAGGCTATGCATCAATATGACATCACAGATTACAATCTGTGGACTTTGGGAGCACTTTAGGTACTTTCAGAGCTGGAAGAGCAGAGCCAGAACTGGCCCACAAAACACTGAGTCATTATAATAACAATCAGAGAGATGGGTGGAGCCGCTCAGTGATACAGCCGAGCACAAATGACTCCAGTATTCTCACTGGGACCTGATGAGTGTGTTCGGGATGTGATGGGGGTTTCACTGTGCCCTACATGAACTTTATTCCACTGTGTGTCTCGTCTACTATCATAAGTCTGTTACACATATGCGCTCCTGAAATTGTTGTGGAAATTTTCCAAAGCACACTCCTAAAACCACAGTGAAATATTTTTAGTGTGACATCAGGAAAAGCTCAAAAAAAAAAAAAAAAAAAAAAAAAAATTTGATTACAGTTTTTGCATTCATATCAATGCAGTGTGTAAATGCATGGGTATTCAGACATCTCCACTGCTCTCATCTTGAAAACGAATCATTTTTTCCTACCTTGAATGGTTTTATCTAGTGTGTTGTTTTTCGGCCTTTCAGTTTTGCACTGGTCACGTTATAACGTCATCACCCCCGCCCACTCACTCTGTGGATTTACCCAAATATTTCCTGTTGTGTTCTCACTTTGGTTCACCCTGAAGTGAGAAATTTCCCTCTGCAGAAAACATCAGCGTGGAAGATTCAGCTAACGGCGTTCACCCCAAAGATTCTGGGTAGTTTTTAGTTCAGTCATAGTTTGCTTTTTACTGTTTCACTGTTTCAAAGTACAGCAGGCAGATTGAATGGCAAAAGTTTCGTGATGACCAAAGCAAGATTTATTTGCAGTGTGCGTCATTCAGAAAATTTTGTAAAATGCAACAGACGCAAAACTTTTCCATGAGAAAAACATTGTGTGGTAAGTTTCTATTATAAAAAGCAACAGTGTCATAGAGGTTAAAAAGTCACAGGAACACTGTGATGGGGAAGTGAAAGTCATATCTGGATCACTTTCTCAGAAATAAATGTCATTTCTGAGAAGTGGGGATGATCATTTTTATATTAAAATACATTCTAGAAAAAAACACTAAAATCAGGATGGTGTGGAATTTTTCAGAGTGAGTAAAAATTATTTCCTTTGCATCAGGAACATTTACTAGAAACATGGCAAAAGACTGAATTTCTGCAGAGAATATGAATTCATGGTAACAAGCAATGCTTTCTGAGCATGTGCACATCTTTAGTACTGGACAGAGGTCTGGGTGCCATAGCCATGCTTTGAGACTATTTCATGCAGTCAGCTAAGCTAACGATGTCCCACCAATTGGTGCCAAAAAATTGAAAATGATAAAGCAACAGTTCCTAAACAGAAGTTTGCACTGTCCCTGTCTAAAGTGTGATTTTAGATTCCATCATGGGATTGCAGTTATGGCTGCACAACATATTCCAGTTTTATCTCAACATAAGAATTTGTAACAAACACCCCCTGAAAGCCAAAATTAATGTGATAAATTTTGAATTATATAAAAACTGAAAAAACTAAAACTGATCATCTAGTTATTAGCTGCCCTCAGACTGAGTGGCCCCGGTTGAGTGATGAAACAAAAAGTTCTTCATGCGTGGTTTGGTATTCAGATGTAACATGCTGCAAACTGGCAGAAATAAAAACTAAGTTCACTTAGTCAACATTTTGTACAGTATGCCAACAGTAGTAAACTGAGTTGGATAAGTTACTTAAAACTGCCTCCTCTCCTTCTTTTACTCAACACATGATATTTGTTCCAAAAGACTGAAGATAATTGACTTGCTACTCTGCAGGAAAAGTATTGCATTGCATGCTAGTCTTTTGTGTTTCTGCCCAACCCAGTACAGCTCAATTAAACTCCAAATCCTCCAAGGCTACACCTCAAATCTTTATTATTAGAAGCATATACAAATAGAAACAAGTTGTTCGTTAGGCTGTTATTTTGAGGGATTTACTCACTAATAACAGCTAGCTTAAACGCAGTGACACAGCAATTCTTAAATCCATGTGTTAGCGTAGGAGTCCACAAATTAAATGGTTTTTAAATGTCCGTACCTGCATTTTATTCAAGTACTAGCATATTCTGTAGAGGCTAAGTACTTTTTTAGAGGAGTGGTAAACAAGAGGAAAAAGGTTAAAGTGACAGAGTGTTACAGGGATTAGAAACTGTTCTGTAATAAGTAAATGTCTAACTGTAATCCCTGAACTTGTTGCTAAAAGAAGTCATCACATTATCGTAGCATTTCACACGCATAACCGCTCGACTCTGCTAATAAACTGTAAATTGTTTCACACTTTGTGGCAGAATACTGATGGAAAGTGAGAGTGTTGCTACCTTGGAAAAAGTCACTTCCACTGATGAATAATAAATTGACATTCAAATTGGAGCAGAGAAAGTCCTTTCTGCGCAGGGATGCTCAGGGGATTTCACTGTTTATCCCCTTTGCATGCTCTAACTGTATTAATGTAACAGGTCATTTTCCCTCTGCCGGCATCGTCCTCTGTTCCAGTGTTTACGTGTGCATGATGACAGACTAACAGGGAGGACTGGCTCACCCAGAACACCTGTAGCCCTGCTTAAACCTTTCCTAGAAGAACATATGTATCCTGCCGGTATGACATGTCACCTAAGTCTCTATGAACTGTACTTTCTACTCAGACAGGATTTACCGGATAAGTGTCCCTCGCACTTGTGACGCAATCCCTTTGAACGCTAACCACTCAAAGCTGGATTTGAAGCTCCACTGAACCCTGGTGAACTTTGACACCCAAAGAGGAACACAGGAAGAAAACAGTGTGGAAAGAGTTTCCTCTCCCCTCTGCCTGGGCCCCTCTGAGGGCGTTCGATCCCACCTGTTCATCACCCAGCTGGCATGGTACCACTTTTACTCCTTCTTTTGATTAAACGAAAAAGCATTTAGACTAAACAATCAATAGGTACAGGCTTGAGTCCTGAATCGCCGGAGCATAAATCTTCCTGGTGCCTGGCGTGGAGTCGTCTCTGTATCATTTTTGCTGATTAGTTTTCCCATTACTCAAAACAGATGTGTTTGCTGGTGATGAATGATCCAATTATGGGATATTTGTCACCCATTTGATATCTGCTGCTAGTCTGGGACTGTAAAGTATTTCAGTGTGGAGCTTCCCCTCCAGTCCACAGTCCACTTTGGCTGATGTGACCTGTCCTTTAGATCGGTTTCACCGGCCAACTGGCCATTAGACAGAACTGCCCTGTGGTGTTTTTCTGGCCCCGTATACAACCGACCATTTCTCTCTCATCATTTCATCAATCTTGTGTTTATAGATGAGACAGCTACTTAACAAAAAACTCGATTTGAGGTAAGAGCAGTTGCCCTGGCTCTTAGTTTGATTTAAAACCCTGGTAAATGAGGCTTGAAGTGGTGTAAACGCATATATTATATCAAAGTTTAGTCTACCATTTAGCATAGATGAAAATCTCAGTGTAAACAAATTTACAACCATCAGAAAACTGTTGAAAAACTGACACATTTCGTCAAGAGACCACTTTTTAAGAAATTTTCTTTTATACCCTGTTACACATTACAGGTCTGCAACAGCACTTCAACAGAGTCACACCATTGCTACACTTTCGTACTTGAGCTTTACACCCCAAAACAGCAAAATAAAAGTCTCCCACGGTCTTAAAGCTTTGGTGAAGCATGAGAAGCATGAGCATAGTGAGGCATGACACTGCTGAAGCTCCACACACACAGGCAGACATGCATAAACACACAGCGCTGTTCTGCCCACGTAGCTTCGATGCCACTCATCGCCACCGTATTCTGTACTGCCCCACATTCCCGCTTGTGTGTTTCACATCAAAAACAAGGTGCCCGCTTTTGCTGCTTCCTCCACAAACCGCTCTGCAGCTCCTCGTTTTAATGCTGTGTCTGATTTAACCGCTGTCACATGTATTGTCACTAATACCTGTTCTGCTCTGTATCACAGGGGTCTTTGCTTGTGCTCTCCCTGCCTTGGCTTTTCATGTTAACACATAAAACATCGGGCAGTTTTATCGCCAGATGTAAATAATTGAGCGAATGCGTCTTTGCAAATTTAGCAAAGGCAGCTCTGTACAGTTAGCTACTGCGATACTATGAGCTGAACTCTGTATGCTGAGGTAAAACACCTGCTACCATTATGGCCTGAACTAAACCTCAACCAAAAATAAACAACTGGTGTCGACAATAAACAGCAACTGTTTATTCAGAAGACGCAAACACCTGCTGTGCTACTTTTCCTGTAATTGAACAGTGGAAATGAGGGTTTTTGAGTTTAACCAAGCCTGATTTGAGGCCATTATTGACTTTATTGATTGGGGTTAATTTGGATGAAACTACCGAAAGAGTTTTAAAAAATGAAACTGATCTCCCCATAAGACGTCAGGTCAAATAGTGGCAGAGCTTTTTGTGGATCTGTGTCTCCTGGGGCTTTAACTCTGTCCTCAAAAGTCTGCACACCCCGCTGACATGCCTCAGATAGTAGTCATACATGTCTAAACTGTAGTTGACCCCCGCAATTGCTCTACACACACACACACCAAAACAATACACAAACACTCACAGCTGAAAGGATTCATGTACACCCCCCATACCCCCTCTGTCTGTGGACAGTAGGCTGATTCTGCAGCCTCCCTCCCTCCCTCCCTTTCTCTCTTTCTCTCTCCTGCTCTGCCGTGCTGAGCTGTGTGTGTGTGTGTGTGTGTGTGTGTGTGTGTGTGTGTGTGACAGCTGCCTAATTGGGCATTCTGACAGCTGCCTAATTGGGCATTCTCCCCTCGTCGGAGCGCCTGCCTCTCCTCTCTCTCCTCTCTCTCCTCCAGCCCGGGCCGGGGCTGCTGACGAATGGCAGCGGATTACAGATGAGGACACGGTGACCCGCCTGACCTTGCTGCACAGCCGCGGGGGGAGGGAGGGGTGGGGGGGACAACAGAGCGCTAGGGGTGGGGCAGACGGGGTGCTATGACTGCAGAGGGGTGGAGTGGGCGTAGGTGGAGGAGGGCTGGCGGGGGGCAAGCGGCGTCAGGTCAGTGGAGGATGAGGTCGAACGAAGGTGGGCGAGATATTAGGATGTGGGGAGGGGGCGTCTGCCAGGTGGCCAGGCGGGCGGGCGTGCGGGCAGGCGGGCGGACAGGCGAATGACAGGAGTGTCACATGACAGCAACACCACCCCTCCCCTCCCCACCAGTGTCAGTGTGTCAAGGGCACGAGCCCCCGCTGGCAACCGCCACTGCGGCATTTTCCCCCTACTTTTATTTATATATTTATATCCTCTCTTCCTCTCCTCTCGCTCTTCTTCTCCTTTTTTTTTTTATGTGTTTTTATGTGTCCGTCAGACGAGCAGCTCCTATATGACTGCTGGCGTGCCTCCACACACCCCCGGGCCCCTGCGATGTGGTCGGTCAAAAGGAGGCGGCAGATCCTTGAGCGTGGTGAATTTTAATTTCTGTGCGCACTGTAGATATTTCCATGCCCCTGCCCCCAACCTCCCCCTCCAACACCACCCTGGCCCCCCTCCCACCTTCCTGCTGCGCGTGTGAGACTGCCAAGGTGAGGTTGTGTCCTCTTGTTAAGAGCGATTAATGGCACTCGTTATGTACATAATGAAATATCCCTGCTGATGCATAGGGTGGCGTTGTCTCTCTCTCTCCCTCTGTCACACACATTCACACACACGCACACACACGCTGCCCGTGTACTGTATGTGTGTAACATTGAGGACGCTTTGTTACAGCCTCCAGGCAACTCTGGTATGTGTTTGATATGGTGTAGAGACCCCCCCTCCCGTGTAAGCCATCTCTCTAAATGAAAAACGAACAGGAATTAAGGCCCTGTCAATTCACAGTCAAGTTTGTTCCCCTTTTTCGCTTTAGATGCGCACAACACTGCGGCTTCCTGCGTGACATGTGTTCTGAGAGATAGAGATGGGTGGCTCGCCACTGAGTCCCGTTTTGACTGGCGGAGTAAATTTAGATCTAATCTCCTTCTGTGTGTTCTTTTATAGTGCGAGAATGTTCACCTAACATCTCTTTTAAGTTGACCTTGTTGTGTTGTTTGCTCGTCTGACGGTTTGTGTATGTGTGTGTGTGTGTTTCTAGGACGAGACGCTGCAGGCTTCCCTATAGGTTTTTATTTTGACCTCGTATGTGTGTTTGTGTGTGTGTGTGAGCGCTTACACCATTCAGTGCCTGAGTCAAGCTGTGCAAGCTCTTTTAATCCCACGCCCCGGTGCACGTAGGCTTGATTAGTGGCAGCAGTTATCTGTGCAGAAGACAGCCCGCCCTCCTTTAGCATTTGGTCAGGTCTGGGGCACCGGGAGGGGGACGGGGGGGTGTCAAGTCATGAGAAAGGTGAACGAGGAAGGAGAAAGGCAGAGTGGGAGGTGGAGGAGGAGGGATGGAGTGAATGAGGAGATGAGGGGAGGGCTGAAGCCTGATTAGTATTCGAAAGGAGCGCTCCTGCCAGTAGAGCAAATTGATTACTGCACTTTACCTGTATCAGCCTCCACAGCTAAGGATGACAAGGTACGGGGGCATGATGTGTGTCTGCGCTCACCTCCCAAACACAGCACAATACCCCTGTGTTAGCATCTGGCTCTGGGTGGATCTCTCTGCTGAACTTTTTTACTACATCTACCTTTGAATACTTTCCACTGTCCTCTTGATCTCCTTCATTACAGAGAAATAATAGGCTGGCTGCAGTTGGGTGCTGGCCTTGTCTATCTCTCTCTGTCTGCTTTAATAGTCGATGGCAGACTCAAGGAAGACAGACTCATTTCCTGCAAGCCTTGGCCCTGTGCTTGTCTGCATCCTGGCTGACAATTTGGTTCTCCTGGTTACAGTAAAGGCAACCTGGTGGATTTAGGAGCTGTGTCCTCTAAGGCACTTTTTTGTGTTGGCAGGACACACAACTTCAGTTTCAGAGCGTTTCTTGCCAGAATTTACTGTTATGAAAGTTGTCACACTTCCTTAAGTGACCACTAGATCCATTTTATAATGCTCTGCGCACTTGCTTATATTTAGTAGCTTTTTAATAAGCAGTACTAAAACTAGCTGGTAGGAGTTGTGTCAGAGCGTAATAGCAGCTCTGGACTTGGAAGTTGTTCATGAAAAAACAAATGAGGTGACTCATCTCATCTCATACTGGTCCTGAACATTTAATATTAAAGTTTGAAACACACCACATTTTAAAAAGGAGACTTTAAATTTTGCTTCAAACAAGTACTATTATGTAACTTTTGTAACTGTATGTAACTTTTAGGAATTGTGGTGCTGATAAATTTCCAGAAACATGGAAAAAGCCATCATAATTAATATTGAACAAGAAAAAAGGTTAATGTTTCTCAGTCATTGTCATATGTTTCAGCAAAGAAAGTCAAAGCAAATAAAGTGTCCGCTTGAAAATGATGCACAGTATTTAAATTAGATGTGTACGTATGGTGTCCTTTCGTTAAGTGGATGCAGAAATAAGCAGTTGAAACTGATAAAACAATAAGTAAAGTCAACATTTGTACGTATTTAGTTTGTGTCAAAACATTTGTGTGTAAATTTTAAATTTTAAAGAGATTCTCAGCCTTATAAGAGAGTCAACAAATAGACAATCTTCTTCTTTCCACCAAACTATCCTGAGATATAAATTGAAAGACAGTGCTTGTCCACTGTGAGTTTCAAATGTATGTTGTGAACTAATTAAAACTAGGACAGGTTTTATGTGAGCAACATGTTTATTTCAAGTGTTATTTACTAACCCTCATGAAGCATTTCTTCGAGTGTACCTTTGATTCCATCTACTTTGTCAGACGCTGATCACACCTGGGCTTCCAGGTGAAGGTAATTAATTGTGATTAACCTCTGTATGAGTAGAAAACAGCTGCAGTTTGAGTGATGACAACCAGAACTGACAACCACTGAGTTCACATAACCGGCTCACACACCTCTCTGCTTTAGTGACTGAACTGTAGAGCCATAAATGAAGACTGGATTTGTATTTCCTGCTGCTGAATGTGTCATTTGCAGTATAATTTTACAAAGACAGACACCTACACCCTCAAACCAGTTTAATGGGGTAGGTTAGGGTTGCTTAGCAGCTAAGTAAACAGCCCTGTTTTTACAATTTCCACATCAGATATTTACAGTTACTTTTACATTTATTTGTCAAAAGTCAGCAGGATGAGATTTTTGTGTCACGTCAGACAGCTTAAGCATGTAGAGGACAGGATCAGCAAAGACTGTTTTGTCCACAGGGGGTGCCAAAGTTGACACAAACTGAAGTTTCTTACAGGAGCTTTAAATATATAGAAAACAAAACCAGTGTGTTGAATATTTTTAACAGCCAACAATTATCACAATGGATATCAGCCCATCATCAAAAAAAGCCATTTGTTGATGTTAAGAGCTGATGTTTATCGGGGTTGCATCAATTAAATGCTGGCGAGCTAGTACACCTTCGTACTATGGCATTCTTTGTGGAAGTATGCAATAGTAGAAAAAAACAACAACATTTTGACGCCATTGAATTTTTGTTAAGGGCAGGCTTGTCATTCTGCACTTCAATAAATAAATTCAGGATGACATTTAGGATCAGGTTATTAACTGCTGAGAGGAACTTTTTAGTTTGAGCTGACTGTGGCTTCCCCAGTGGACAAAGTGGCTTTACTCAACTTATCCTGTATCTGTGAAAACTGTGGGGGGTTTAAAGCAACAAAGCTCATCCAGCTCCCCTTAAACAGTCAAGCAGATCAGTCATTGTAAAAACATAATCACTGGCTATTTCCGCATTTATATACGATGGTCTACTTTGTTTTTGTCACACATATATAGTAAAGAGTCTATATCAGTTTGAGTCTGTTTCATTAAAACACCGATAAAAACTCCTCACTGGAGCTTTGCAAAAGCAAAAATAGGTTGTTGTGGAAAGCATCTAAATTTAATCTAAATTTATTGCTAAGGTCTCCAAATATACAGATTTGATCCATAGAGTCAAATAAATTGAACACACACTACTTCTAAATTCACTGTTACCAAAATCGATTTACAATGGAAACTCAATCAGTGTTTTTCACTGAACTTTTTCACTGACACATTCTCTTCAAGCTCAAACACTGCTGGTGTACTCGACCAATGAAGGTTGAAATACAAAAAAACAACACACTGTAAAACCATGGTGCGTTTCTGATGTCAATACACAAATAACAGACAGCAGCTCAGACAGGGTTTCCACATCTTTCCAGTGTAGCGCACATGTAAGCATTTAAAAAAAACTGCACAGACTGTTGTGTTTTAGCTTTTAAGACGTGGTGTTGAGGAGGAGGCTTAAGAACAAAGAGAGAGTAAAGCTAAACAAAGCGTGTTTGGCCCCAGTGTCTATGAGATATGGATTTATCTCTGGCTTGATTGGGGATCATGGGGATTTTGGCACACATCAAGAGGAGGGTTTCACATACTGAAAAAAAAAATTGTGTTGGAATTTTCGTGTGGAAATACAACATCCTGATGTATGTAACCCTGTTAGAAAACAGTGTTTCATCTCAGTGTGCTCATTTCCACCACGGTATCCTCTATAATATACTTGTAAACATCAAGCTGTGTTTATGTCTACTTAAACGGAGTGTCTTTTCATTTTTAATACCACACTGTAAACAGTGTTATTCATTAGGTCTTCTGGCAGATGCCATTGGAGGTATTGATGAATAACATTTTATTTTAAGTTTCACTGCTTTGTTTTCATCAGTAGTGCTTGCTCTCCTCATTTTCTCTGTACATAACTCGCCTGCTGCTGCTCTCTGTTACTTGCAGCAGCTTTAAGTTAGAAATGTGTCTGTAGACAGCTTTCTTCAGCTCTGGTACTTCAAATGTAAATGCAATGCAAAATATTTTCTTGATGACATGTGGTATCAAGAAATATCAAAGTATCATTTTTCTATTTATGTTCCTTTTACTGCATTTCTTTCAGAATTTGGTGTCCCAAGCCTGTTAAGCACAAACTATCATTTAATTTGTCTTTTTTTAAGTCCAATTATAAGCCAGTCAGTCTAAAGACGGTAGAGCTCCAAAAACTGTAGTTCAGCTTGTCCTTTTTAAAGATATTAGGTATTTCATATTTTTGTTTTTATTGTTACCTTTAAATACTGGTCGGAGAAGTATTCAGCAGTCGCGCTGACTCATACTCTAAGTGATAAGCAGTAAAATGTTCCTAAAGGAAGTAGTCTGTGTCTTAAAAAGTTTACAGTGGATGTAAAGCTTTATGTTTCTGAAAAGCCAAAGCAGATGGAAGTGTTTCAAGAGCCGGTGAGCAGTCCTATAACAGCTTCTCTCATCTTTTTCTCAGGAAATACCTTTGTCTGATGTTTAGAGGGTTTGCAGAGTGATTTAGACGTCTTTAGTCGAGTCTTTGTTTGTGTTTTAACCATAAATCCACGACAAATTCTTACAGTATGTTCAACATTGACCTGTCTTTTCTATTTTCCCTTTTTTCACATGCTCATGTAAGCCAAAGGTAGTGAATGTGTTTTTGAACCATCATATAAATTGTTCCTTACTCATTTTGACCATTTGGAAAACTTAAAGTTGCTGTTGACATGTGATTTTATTAAAAAGAAACAGCTATGAATTGTTTTGACCACGCGGCAGCAAACATCTTTGCCCAGAGGGCAGTGACAGAAGAATTACATTATAGTCTTCAGTTCAAATGACCAGGGTTATCCAAGCTTAATAATTGGTTAAACTTTGTTTTGTTCAGTGTTTTGCTCTGAGAGAAATCATATGAGGCTTGTAACATTAACTTGAAAAGCTGAGGCTGTGTGTGTTAAGCTTAAATTTGGGCCCTCTCCAGGTTGTGTAACAGCAGGGTGCAGGGTGGTACAAGGTCCTCTGGGGTGACAGAATGGCAGCCATGTTGTTGCTTGTTTAATCACCTTGTATTGTTGGGAAGTGTAGTAAGCAGAAGTTACTCTTTGGTTTTTCTAGAGTTTTATCACATGAAGCTCCAGTCCATTAGAGTTTTAATGTTTCTTAATGTAATTTGCACCATCTGCAACATATTCAAATTGTTTTTGTTTGACATATGTAAATGCAGTTGGATCATTTAGTTTTTACTGTAGAACCCCAGGTGCATTTTTTTTCCCAATAAGGCACCATTTACCTCTTTGGGCTAAATAGTTGAAACCACAGCTTGAACCCAAAGACTGCATTTGTTGTCTACATTTTGACTTCTTTTCTGTGAGGGTCGGGCATCAGCAGCTCTCGGATTAAGACAAGATCTTGGTTAAGACTTATAGGCCAGAGTTGTGCAATACACCTGCCATATAATGTTGTGTTAGCATAAGCACTGTGCTGTGTCACGTTTGTACACATACTTGATACAATTTATTCCTACTGGGAGATACCTCTAGGGGACATAACAGAAACCTCAGGACTTATACAACTACCAGGTGTGAACTTAACACACCTGAGGAGGTTACTGTTATGTTCATTCTGAGTCTTGGTTTGAATGTTATTAGGTATAAAACTGGACTTTAAAAAGTACACAAAGCCATGTTAGACCAACTGAATTCACACATAGTCAAATTCTTTTAAATTTGACTAAAATACCCAAATGATGCTGTTAGATGTCAATTTTTAAGTTGCATGTTTTGTGGGTTGTTTTGGTGTGTGACATAAAAAGCCAACCAGGAGAGGGTCCAGTGGTAACTTGCTGAAAAGGGCCATTTAGCCACCTAGCATAGCAGACAACAAGGCAGTAGCAGATTTTCCCATCAACTTCTAAACCGAGCTACTTTGACAGGCCTCTTTGTTGCTGTGTGGTGGTAATGACATTTCGTACAGATGTGAATAATTGGTAAAGGAAGTTTCAAAGACCAGCTGATAAACCGTCACATCCCCTCTGCCTTTAAACTGCAGCTACTCTTCATGTGTATAATGCATCTTGTGTCCGTGTCATTGCTAATACTTGAGGTCATGTTGTGCCAATCAGACACAGGATGTTCATGACAGCCATTATGTGTCTAGCCTTTCGTAAGACACAAACTGTGGTCTCATGTACTTCTGTGAGAAAAAGCTTCCAGGTAGAAAACCTTTAAGGAAATCTGTAAGTGAACAAGTACCAGAAAACTCCAGTGGAGCAATACAGGCCAGTCAGAGCAGGTCAGAGTTTAACCTTTAGAGGAAAAATCTCACATGTATGTTCTGTTCTCACCTCAGAGACAAGCTTCAGACAGGTATATTAAGGCGCTGTTGTTTAACAACCTCAGCTCTCATTTAGATTCTGAGCCTAGCAGGACTATCTTGGGTAAGACTGTTTTGTTCTACTGCGAGCACTGGGTCGGGGCACCAGGGCCAGGTGTAGGACTAATCTCATTGAAGTCTCCTGTTTACTGGCATGTACTAAGCTCTGTCTTGCCAACTGGATTTGTGCTGCTTGGGAGATTTTTCTGGAAAAGGTTACACATAATGGTTTTATGCTTTATTGGGTTAAATGTATGTGAATTTATTTAACATATACTTGTTAATTTACTCAAAAATTAAGGAATAAAAGCTGTAATTTTTGTAGATATTAAAGGAATGTCCCTTTACCAGCGTATCCTGTAATACTACTCCCCAACCTCACTCAGAGCATTAGGATGATTTAAAAACTGGAAAGTAGGTCAATGGGAGCATTACGAAAGGATGATAGCAGAGATATGTTCTCTCCTTTTCCAACACTTAGACCTCTGTCACACACCAGATTACTCCAAAACCATCCCCAAATTACTGACTGTTAGAAGAAAAACAGCGGTACTTTGTTAACCCAATAAAGACAGACATCTTGCTGACTCATGGCGATAGCCTTCTCAGGGCTGATACCAAGGATATTATGGAAATGATTCATTAAAGGATGATGTTTTTTAGCTGGTTTTATCCAGCTCTCAGGGCAGCCTGATGGTGGGACATTTGATCTCAATTGCAAAGTGGCCCATTTCCCTCAGACATCACCGCTGCAGTCTGTTTCAAGAGCCTTGTTGTGCCTGTTGGCGGGCTGGCCATGGGGCAATCAGCTGTTCCTATTTCCAGCTTCAGTGTTTACAAATGGAAAATGTGTGTTGTTGCGGGAGGGAAATGAGCACCATTTTGGACAGACGATGTGAGCAGAAGATTACCTCGGAGCCCCACAGAAATGAATCAGGTATAGATTGATGACAGCCACGGCTCATTAGGAGAGGAATGTGTGTGTGTGTGTGTTTAATTGATGCAGTAATTTTCAGGCACTCAGGAAATGGCCTTTGGGTGGGTCTTCCAAATGGCATACAAATATTTACTGTGGGCACAAACATTTTGTAAGGATATCCTACAGGCCTGGGCACCTAAGGTCTTGGACTGTGATATAGTGGTATCATCATTGCACCGGCTAGTTTGGCTGGGTCCTTCACTAGTCAGCTGGGCTCTGAACCGCTTAGATGACTCATCAGTGTGCATGAATTCCTCTCTGCTCTCTCTCAACCCCGAGAACTCTTTGTACTGATGAGTGCAGATGAAGTTAAAATCCGCCCACACACTCCTCATCCGAGGCCAGATGCAGGCCAAGATCTTTAGCACTCTGCTCCCTTTTTGTCCAAGTCTGAAATGTTAGCTTTCTGTCATCACACTCTCTTCCTCACATAAAGGGGCTGGAGGATTTTCCCCAACGGATTCCCTGCGCTACTTAACACAAGAGGTCTGACTTTTTAGCATCGCGTTTCCTTTATACAGGGTGCATCCACAGGTCTCTGTCTGTGTGCACATGGAGGCATGTGTGCTATGCATGACTTGTTTGGTCAATGCATCCTAAGAAGTGGGTCAGAGTGCCCTAGTTCTCATTGTGTGGGCGTGCATGTGCCTGTGTATTGCATTTCAGTGTTATTTTGTCCTGATTGACTTATCTACAAAAACATCTTCTTGCTCGAGCTCTCCTGCTGTTCGGTTGCTTGTTCCGCTCTTGTTTACCTCCCTCAAGGTGAACCAGAGCTTTTAATTCAACTTTGGTGCACTCGTTCACTTGTGGAAGGCTAAGAACAACTGCATTTGGTCAGGTAGCTTATGTTTTGTCTTATTTAATCATGTCAGGCCATATTGAATTTACAAATAGCGGTCACGCCGCATGTGTAAGTGAGCTACCCTGTTGAGTATGTGCAGCAGGGCTGGGCTGCAGATTACATGATATAATAGTGTTTAGGCATCGCCTCTCCTTTTAAATTCCTTTAACCTTGACTCCCCTTAAATGCAGGGAGAACACATCTGCCAGGCTGGTGTCAGACATTAGTAACACACACCGCTCGGGCAGCATTGTCACTTTTTATTAACGCCCAGAGCTTTGCATGGACACCAGCTGTTGCATCAAGTGGAAAAGCCTTGGCGGCATGAATGACCTTGACTTTAACTGCCGCTCCTTTGGCTCCCCCCTTTAATTCTTTTGTTTGGTCTCATACATTTTAAATGGCTTAAATGGATTACCATTCCTGACAATGAAGGTCATTAAAGCACTCCTTTTTTTTTTTTTATAAAGATAAAAACAGCCCACGTTACCGACCAGTGTACTTATAAAGGGTTTTTGCTATATATCAGTAAGATGTTTAATCATAAAAAAAGAAGGTTACATATTGATATCGTACTCAAAATAAGAAATACAGTGGTACCACGGAAGTACTTGGTTCATAGTAGGAAGTGGTGGTGGTTCTAAGCAGTTGCTAGCTAACAAGGTTTGGTAGCCCTCTGAAAGATGGTCAGACACTTTTAAACTTATGTTGTACGATTTTTCTCGTAAATAAAAGACTCTTTTTGCTGTTTTCATCCAGTTTGGTAATTTACAATCTACATTAAGTGGAATATGCATCATTTCAAAATAAAAGCATCATTTAAGAATACAGAAAATCAAGCAGCCTTGATTCAAGACAGTAAGATGTCAAAATAAAAGCATTAAAAACAATAGTCCAAAGGGATATCTCTTCTCCAGATATGAACACAACAAGGTTACTCACAATAGCTTTTAATGTAGAGTTTGGTCACTAATACAGCTCATTATCAGAAGATGTTGTCATGAGGCAGTTGACCTGGATAAAACATTACTGGATGATAACGTGTAAATAAGTCAGTTATATCTAGTTAGTTTATGAAGCTCCACACAGGTCATGTCTCTCCCTTATTTTAATGATTGTTTAGCTTTTTTTTCTTTCAAAATTGTTTAGAGATATTGTGATCATAATATTTTTGGAGACTTGTTTTTGGCCACAGTAATCATGAGGTAAAAATGTGATATTGTGACTGCCCAGTGCTCATGCATTTGTGGCTACGGGCGCTCGGAGAGAGTGAATGAAGGTCAGTTTTTGAGATCTAATCCCTGACTCCGGCATCGGCACATTCTGGTAATTTCACGTATCTCAGAAAGCTGCTGAGATTGCAGTGACCTTTAATGTTCCTGGTGTCTTTTTAAGTACAAGAGAAGTGAAACAAAAAGAGGGAGAGACAGATAAAGAGCCGACCAGCCAGTTGTTGATGAAGCTCTCTGCCCTCCCTCTCACATGTACGTGGCCGACTGTAGGGGTAAAAATCACTTTAGAACGGTGCTTGCTCTGTCATTGGCTGACATTGTCAAGGATAATGGATAATCACCACAGAAACCGTAGAGCAGCTCATTGGTGCTGTGGTGTCCCACGGTGGGGGAGGGGGGTGGAGGTCACGCTTTTTGGGTGCCACCACCAATGAGATGACATGTTAACAGATGTGTAAGGTCATTTTATATGTATACACCAGGGGAGATAATGTAATAGTAATGCACACATCATGCATTGAGAGACAGAGAGAAGGAGGAGGGCTGTGTGCTTTAGGGGCTCTGTATAGAGGACAGCTTTCCCTATATTAAGGTCATTTATTTAACGGAGCTCTGTCAGAGAGGAAAACATATTTTCTCTTGCCCTTGCTGTAGCAGGGCTTTTTGACACCGCCTCTGTCATTACATGTCTCTCAAGAGCCTGAAGGTCCTTGCTTTTTTCAAAGGAGTACTTAATGTGAGATAGTGAATGCAGTATCTCTGTTGTATATAAACTAATATAGTGCTGTGTCATCGTGTCCCTGTGCAGCCTTGTCTGCTCTGTATTGAAGTTTCTGTGGGCAAAAACAGATACAAGGTCAACTGTAATTCCAAAGGTTCACTGCCAGCAGCAAAGAGATTAACAGAATTTCCCATGTTGTATGCGTGTCAGTGTTTCTTTCCAGTTTATTTTTACTCTCTCACTGACTGAGGTGGGGCCTCTTCAGTTTCAGGACATGACATGAACTTTTTCGGCCTGTTTAGAAGGTAAACATATGTGTACATGTTTACCGTGCCGATCAAACAAGGTGTTACAGGGCATTCTATTATAATTGCTTTAAGCTCACTGGAGTGGAAATAGCCTTAATCCTGAGCATCTAAGATTAGCATGACAGCAGACGTCAGATGGCCCAGTATGACCAGGTTGGCTTTTATTGTTGTCAGATTTAGGTCACCATCTTAGAAATGGCCTTGAAGTGTAATTGATGCTGATTGGCCAATCTCAAATAAGCTATCTTATTCAACTCAGTGCTGCACAGGCCGAGGTGCATCATCAATCCATGCACCTCACGTTGTTACAAAGTATCCAACCTGTTTGTTGTCCTACCAGTACCCAGACTTAATTATACACTGATATCTTAATTCCAGCTTTAATCCCAGCTCATTGTTAAGGGGGGTTAAAAGTGCCACCTTGTTGCCCTCACTGTCATGACAACCTGTGGACCTTGGCCGCAGGAATGGATTTCTGCCTGATTAGAGGCCTTCTGCCTTGTTGTTTTTGGCCCTTGCTACTGTTTTCTGTGAAGTATTTAGACTGGTGGCTGCGTGGGTTGCTGTGGCCTTTCGTCATAATCAAGGGCTGCTGTCCTGTTGTGTGACCTACTATGTCGGTCCACTCAGCGGACACCAAAGGTGAGGGCGGCTTTGGGAAAGGACACGGACAGCAGCTGAGGCGAGGTGGAAACTCTGTATTAATTAACCTTTATGGGATGCGGCCAGGACTGTCGGAGGTGTCCTGTATCCACGGAAACCACGCTGACAGGGTTCAGAGCAGAGGTCTACTAGGGCAGAGCTACTCACACTGTCATAGCAACTGGCACAATGCTCACCCCGGTGTCACCAGTTCAGCCCTCCTGACAGTGGTGTGCTGTGACAGGTGCACCTGATCCTTAAACCACCCCCACCTCCTGATACACGCACACAGAAAAAAAAAATCCACACACACACACACACACACACACACACTCTTGAAAGTCGAGTACAGCTTGTCCTTAACCAGTATCCTTCCTGTGATTCTTTGTTGCCTCTGTACCGTTCTCGTAAACATGGCTTATGTCACATCAAGTCACCTCACATTTTGATCTCTACCCTTGATTTAAAATAAATCTGGCACTAAAAAAGCTAATGTTGGGGAAGGATTTATGGCTCAGCAGGTCTTTATAAACCTACAGGTGCATTTATAACTTCTAACTACTCTAAGTGTGAAATTATTTAAACATGTATGTATGTCCTGATGCACATACCTGTGCTTTAAATGCTTAATATTTAAATGCTAACTTGTGTGCTTGTGCGTGTGGGTGGCTCCTGCTTCATGGAGACCGGGGGTTGCATCGTATAAGATGCTGCTCAAGTGCATAAGGAGCAGGAGTTGGGGGGGTGGGGGGATAATCCACTGAAATGACAAGCTGCATAAGGAATTATTCACAGCTCTCACAAGGCCCTTCACTTTTGAAAGACATCGCTGTGAGGGGCTTACAGCTCACGACCTGAATGTTTTCAAGGTAGTGGGCTTGAATTTTCAATTTGGATCCAATCAGGCCTAATCTACATTTGTCGTCTGCTCAGTGGCTGCAAGGGGAGAGTGCAGAGAGGAGAAGGAGCCGTGTGCAGTCAATCTGAAATGTTGCTAAGTAACAGAGATGGCAGACGAGGTGGAGAAATGAATGTGATATAGTGCTCTGCAAATTCCTGCTTCTCACAGTTTCTCCTTTTTTTCCCTCTTTCTCCCCACCTTACCCCGACTCTCCCTCCCTCCTCTATCCCCCTCACTTCCATAGGTCCCCCATGTGAGATCTGGAAAGCTGAAGGGCGCCCCTGACAGAACCACAGCCAGGCCTCAGAACGAACTTCCCAAACATCCACAGCTTCGGAATGTGTCAACATCTTCGTGGTGGAATCCTGCTGACTCCTCGCTTGCTACTCACATAAGCCTGGATTTGGGCCTTCTGGGATCCTACGGTGTTTAAAGGCACACAACAATGCCTGGGAGGCCCACCTGCCCCAGTTTGCCTCCAACCATGCTTGCTGTTTCACCACAGCGCTGACTGTGCCCACTGCATAGAAGCATCACATCCGGCCAGTGCATCCGTGATTCCCCCCGCAGGCTAAATCTGTGGAATTGCCTGCCCTCTTTTTGGTATTTAGGAAGTACATGCCACTGTCAAACAGATGACCTAGTGGACATTTGTTTCCCAGTACCAGTGCTGAACCATACGAGGGGATACTAGTATTGAACATGACTCATGGGGAGGAGCCTGGCCCTGAGACACACAAGGATTCAGCTGTTCTAACTTATCTGGAAGGTTTACTGATGCATCCAGTGGTAGCCGGGCCTGGGGCCACGGCAAGCGGGAGGTCTGAGGCTGCCCACAGCAACCAGGAGCAGAGTGACAAAGTAGGTGGGCCCTTCCAACTACCCAGCCATGGCCCCACAGCTCCCAAAGCTGGAACCAACGGGCCTACTCTTGGCTCTTCACAGCACCTGAAGAAGGCCCGCCTGCTGCGCTCTGGAGCCTGGAATGATCCAGGGAACCAGCAGAAGAGTTCCCCTTCAATGGAGCTGAATGGCCAAGCGGGTGGCCTGCAAAATGGAGCACTGGAGGGATCTCCTCATGCTGGAGAGAGCACCCTGTTGGCTTCCCTGCTACAGTCATTCAGCTCAAGGCTTCAGAGTGTGGCAATGTCTCAACACTCCAATAAACCCCCAAGTGAGTGTTCATCTCCCCCCAAGGCACCGCCTGCAGACAAAGAGCCACTTCCTGTGTATGAGACAGCCTCAAGCCGCCTAAAGGGCCTAATGAGGAAGAATAAACTTCAGAATCACAGCAGCACACCTTACAGTCGCAGGGGACACAGTCAGGACAGACCCCCAGAATCACCTCGGTCAGCACACAGTGCCACCCCTCCCTCTGCTCCTTTAGCTGCTGAATCAGTGTCCTGTGCGGAGCGGCTAAAGGCAGTGGCCAACATGGTGAAAATTCGTTCTAGCCCAGCACCTTCACCCAAGCCTAGTGTGGCTTGCAGTCAACTGGCTCTGCTGCTGTCCAGTGAAGCCCATCTCCAACAGTACTCCCGAGAGCATGCACTCAAAGCCCAGCTCTCTGGAAGATCTGCCAGTGAAAGACTAGCTGCTATGGCAAACCAGCAATTCGGGCCAGACACGAGGCCACCAAGTGTGGGAGCAACTCCACCTAGAACCTCAGACACACTGAGCTCCCTATCAACCCAAAATGGAATGACAACAACTTCTACGACAGCAACAACACTCCCTCGAGCAACACTTTCCAGTCCACAGAGCCCCTCTCTGCTGCGTGGCCACAGCCAAAGCTCCCCGCCTACACCCCCGCATGCCCCAAACCACACTCACAGCCAACCGCTTCGGGAGAAAAGGGGTTTTGACTCACGTCCGACTCGTCCCCCCCAGACTTGCAGCAGCTTGTTACTGCTGCTACTTAATAACCACAACAACCAAAAGCAGCTGACTAAGAATGGGCATCTGGAAGACAGCTGTGGGATTCTGCCACCAAGCGGCTCCTCTTCTGTCACATCAGACAGTGAATGCTCCACCCAGGAGAGGAGCCTGACAAAAGACAGCAGTGACGCAGAGAGTTCCTACTCAAGTTGCTCTCCCATTGACCTCTCTATTCGGAGCCGAGCAAATACACAAGAGACAGGGCCCAAAACTTCCTCCTCTTCCTTCTCCTCATTCTCCTCTTCCACCCCCACCCCCTCCTCTTCAACTACAGTGTATTCCTCCACCCCAGTTGCATTCTCTCCGCAAGCTTCTGCTCAACCTACTACCACAATCTTTTCACCGTCCTCTACCGCTGTCTCTTCTGTTTCAACTGCCATCCCTTCATCCTCCTCCTCCTCCTCTATCTCTACATCCTCCTTGGATAAACTAACAGAAACTTTGCTAAACAAGTGGAAGCCAGAGCCATCAGCACCAAAGGTGTCCATGAACAAGGAGCCTGATATGAGCCCTGATGCTAAATCCCACCCAAAACTCACACTCATGCAGCTGCTTCTTGAGCGCAGAAATAATGAGATGGTTAATAAAAATGCAGCCAACCAGGATTTGCCTCTTGACATCAGTATGGCCGCCATGTCTCGAGGTCAACCAAAAGGACTGGTGCACTGGGAGGAGGCCAGGACAAAAAGCCCCATTGACAGACCTGTAGCCCCAGCCCAGTCTCCTTATCCACTTAGTCGGGACCCAAGCGGCACATTGTCCCCATACTCATACCCATCCCCACATGTCCAATCCAGTCCTTTGGACTTATGTAAGTCTAAGACCTTTCCTGCTGAGAAGTCTTCAGAGCCTGCCTTCAGTGCCAGTAAATTGTTACAGAATCTGGCTCAGTGTGGTACTGCCTCTTCCCCACCCATCCCCTCCAGTGGGGTAGGTCAGGAGCATGATGCCAGTAGGCCCATCGCCCTGTTGGAAAGACTCAATGCCCCAATCCACAGGACCACCACTCCACTCTCAGATGGACCGTCGGGTAGTGGCACACCTTTCAGTCAGAAGGAAGCCTCTCCTCCTTCGTCGCAGATTGAGAACCTTCTCGAGAGGCGCACTGTGTTGCAACTCCTGCTAGGAACAGGCTCAGCATCTACCACAGTCAGCCGCAAAGAAAAGCCCAGTGGTTGTGGTAGAAGGAGTGTGGAGATGGCAGGAGGAAGTTATGAAAAGATCCCCGGTGCATCCATTGTCTGTGACAGTTCCAATGGGCCTCCTTTAGATGTTAAGGTCAAAACAGAGGACATGGATGAGGTGGGGCCGTCTTCAGCTATATCTGAGGAATCTAATGGCCGAAAGAGACCCAGCAGTTATGAGAAGAGCAGCCCCCTGTCTGATTCTCTGCAGGACTCTAAAACAGAACCACAGCCTACAGAGGTCATAGCAAAATATGGCCTTCTCAGCCAGTTGCTTAAACAACAGACTGCTACCTACTATACCAGTGCTGCTATGAAGGCTGAGTCACAGCCCAGGCCAGTGAAAGAGGAACAGAGGGAGTATCCAAGCCCAAGTCCTAAGAAGAGACGCCTCTGCACTGATCGGACTGATTGTTTGAATAATACTAGCTCGACAAGAGCAAAAGACAATGGTGATACAAACATGTTTGCCTCTCCACCTGCTCAGGAAGAGCCTGAGCTTCAGAGGAGTCCAAAGGAAGAAGTGGCTCCACCCAGGAGCCCACCTAGTGAAGCCCTAACCAGAGAGAGCCGGGGTTTCAATGTGCTTAAACAGCTGCTGCTCTCGGATAACTGCCTGAAGGAACTGTCTCAGCAGCCTCGAGGGACACCCAGTCCTTCTGTCCTGCAGGCTAATGGTAAGGCCAATGGCAGCATTCTCGGTCAGCCTTCACATAATCACAGCTTCCTCCACCTTCCCAGCTGGCACCCCCATGGCTCCCTCAACTCAGGGCTTCCGAGTAATCTCAGACCACTGCCCACCCCCCCTCAAGTTGAAAGCCCTGTACGAACCCCCTGGAACCGCCACTCTGCTCCGTGGCCAGTGACTCAAAAGCGAGACCCCCCTACTCTAGTCAAACAGGAGCCTGAGAGCCCTGTGCGATGGAGTAGTCAGGAGAATGAGGAGGAGGAGGGTTGTGACTCAAACCTGGACTCTCCACGGCTCTCGCGCTCCAACCCCATCTTGTATTACATGTTGCAGAAGGGCAGCATTCAGCTGAGGAGGGAGGTGAGAGATCAGGCGGAAGGGACCCAGTCTGTGATCAGAGTAAAAGAAGAGCCAATCAGTGACATGCATGCTTATGAACACAGTCTGAGCTCCACCTTACAATCACCAACCCATAATGACAAGCACAGCCAAGAGAGCCAGGGGCTGAGCCAATCATCTGAATAGAAGTTGTATCAACTAAAGAAAAAATCATTGACTCTTTTATTCCTTTTTTAATGACTTGCCAAATTGGTTTGATGATACAGAAAAATAAAGTTCAGAACAATGTTTTTTTAAATGGAGTAAAGCAAGTTGAAATTCAAATGCATACTTCAGATGCATATGTGCATTGGTTTATCAGTTTTTAATAGTGAAGTCATGGAATGGTTCAAAATAGGTCTAATTGACTCAACAAAAACTACACATTGATACAAATCTGACCTTGCCCGTCATCTTGCATAATATATTTCATTTAGCCACTGATGGAGTCCTCCTTTACAATCTGATCTTGTTTTACACTTATTATTTTTATCTGAATTGTACACATATCACTATTCCATGTCCTCTTTGTTGCTCAGCATAAAACATTTAAAACAAACATTTCCGGCAAGATTTATTATTTATGGCTCCGAAAATGTTAGTGCTCAGTTCTGTGGACATGTTATTTATTTTCTCCATCAGAACATTTGCAGATAGACAACTTCCCATCAATTTTAAATAAGATTCCAAATAAAGTCATTTTAGGGCAGACACAGCAGTCTATTACAACAACGTACATGATAAATTTATTCAAAGGAGGACCTTGAAAATAATGTTCACACTGCAATAGCTTCAGTGAGGATCCAACATGATGAATGCTTTGTCTCACTATTCCTCAAGATACATGTTGTGGTATAAGAAAAAAAAAACTACAGAGTGAGAATATATCAATGAAGATATGGTCACACCTCATTGGGTTATGCTTTTTGTTTAAATTGAACTTTTTGGGGCAATATTCGACAGTGCAAACTCTGGGCAAAGTGTCTGCAAACTGCAGTTTTGAGCAGATGGGTCAACACAGCATGTGCGGTCCTTAAGGTTGAGCAACTGTATGCAAACAGGTTTCTGGAGCAACAGTTAGAAGGCCGCAGTGTCTGAGTAACTTATCTCATCCTCCCGGGTAAACTGACACTTTGCTTCTCATACACACAAAAATGAGTTTAAAAGCACATGGCTTTTTCTTCAAGTTTCATTTATTGAGCACCCAGAGTTTGCACTTTTGAAGCTGAGTCCTACCTGTCCTTTACAGAATAATTTAATGGCATGTTTTTTTAAAAAATGTCAGTATTGTTATTTGTTGAGAATTTGACGGTTTGTGATTATTTTTTCATAATTTCTTAACTGTTGTGGTTTTTCAGACATCTTTTATTTTTGTGGCAGACTCTAAACCCATAAAAAGTCAAAAGAATTGCATGATAACTAAGAGAAGACCACAGGTACATCTTTTTTTTTTTTTTCAAAGCAGCTGGATATGTGTACCTGACCCCCAATAATCACCAGGACATGTTGGTGTCTTCGGGGATATCTGCTATCTAGCTCATTGTTTTGATTGTACTGTATTCTTTCAGTTAATTTCACACATTGCTTTATCCATTTAGTCTTGTGATCTTTTTAATACATATACCCATGGAGTACATCTCTGCAATTATTAATACATTTTCACAATGGTTAAATATATTTGTGTAAATAGTACTTTCAGTATGAAAGATGACTATTTTGTAATGTTTAAGAAAAGATATTACCCTAGTTTTTAATGCCCTGATATGTAAATATGAATTATATGCGTACAAGTGTACATACAAAGGCAGAGGATGCTATGCCCATCTTTTTTTGGTTGGTTTGTTCTTTGCATGTGTCTCTATGTGGTAAATGATAATCTATCCTGCGCTGTGTTGTGTAATAATGTCTGACTCTCCTCACTGCTGCCTGTTGCATGCAGACGCATGGGAACTACCTGTGTATCCCTACTGGTGATGGGGGAAAATGTCAAGTCTTAAAATAGGTCTTTTTTTTATCACAGAGAGAGGTTCGTTTAGAATATGAACAGTCCCTAAATAACCACAGACTGTCGAGCGAGTTGATTAAAATGTGTGGAAAATAAACGTGCATTGAATATTTTTTGTGATTTTCTTTTCTGTTACTGGTTAACAAAGCTCTGTGGAAGAGTTCGGGGCTATAGTGGGGGATTGACGTACAATCATAGATCTGCATTGTGCATCTAAGAAAAACATTTGTAGCAGCAAATATAAAAAAAGGTGTTTCATTTTTTTCATGTGAAGACCTGAAACATTATTTCATTTTTTATGTTTTCATTTTTGGTGTTCATTTGCACTGATATCTCAGAAATAAAGTACTAAAATGCATGACCTAGTATGAATGTGTTCCTCTCTTTCTAGTTCACTGTAATGAAGTCTGTTTTTTATATGCCAAAAATGAGGATGTGTGCAAGTTTATTAAAAAATATAAGAGGTTATCTGAGGGAAGTGCTAAGCAAGCAGTCCAGAATTGCAGGTATGAAGCAACAACATTTTCTGGTGTCGAAACTATTTTAAAAATTCAAGTTTAGCATTTTCTCAAAACTAGTAAATCAATAACATTTGGGCCTATCAATACATTTCAAAAAACTAAAATTGATGATTTGTTGTACTTATAGTACAGACATATCTTATTAGACCTCATATTTGCCACATTTACATGACAGGTTATGATACAAGTAATAAGACCTGAGTTACTCCACTGTGGCACATAATCTGTAACATAAACAAAATGATCTTATCTTAAAATAAGTTCTTTGTCTTATCTTGGCAGGTTAAGGTGGCCAATTTTAAAGGTAACGTGTAAGAAAAGGTATTTTTTAGTGATATCTAACTATCAAATTCTACATTGAAATTCCCTTGCTCAGCCTTGATTTGATGAGGTGATGGTGGCGTTCAAGGACAAAAAGCTCCTGTAATGGATGATAAGTAATATTCTCCTTTTTTGCTTTTGTTCTTTTTTCAACCAGGAAACATTGGAAGAAAGATGGCGGCCTCTAAGAAAAACAACCTAATATGCAAAAATGTCCTTTTATATACACATCCTTATACACTAAACTAATATTAACATTGAAGTACTTGAAAGTCTATGCTGCTGAATGCTGCTTGTCTTTACCCACTATATCTTAAAATTAAATTGGTATTTTTTAATTAGAAAAAAAAAAAAAAACTTGCTAGTACCAACATTGATTGTCTTGTAAAGGTTTTCAGCCTCCATCTTTGAGCCTGTGATCAGCATTGTGCAGGTAGGCCACTTCAAGTGAAATGCAGTACCTTTGACAGTCTTCAGGGTGAAAAACTCTGTCAACACCAGCTGCTGCTGTAGGTTATTTGAGAGACACTTATCCTCTTCCTCAAAACAGCCGTGGTGATCACACCCATACTTAGTAGCTCTGCCAGAATACAAGTGTAGAAATCTGTGTTGAGAGCAACAGGATTGATGCTAATGTTGCATAATGTTTGGATCCTGATGTGCTTAAAGTTGGGTTAGAAAAATGAAAAACTGGGCGATGGCTAACAAAACGTTTTACTACTCTGAGTGGTATTTAATGCTGAAGGGGTTCCTGTAACATGTCATTGGAGGATACAGACTCTTGTCAAGTAAAATCAGGTATGCTAAAAATGCATTAGCCTATTGTTTAGACCTTCCACCAAAGGTAGAAAAGTGTTGGTGTCCAAACACATAGTCTAGAAAAAAAAATCCATTATTTTTGGTGATGTATATTAGTTTAAAATATGATCTAAACCAGACAAACACAAATGAAGGATTTTTTATATGATGAAATTTTTAATGTGTGATTGCATTGTTCTGTATTGCAGAAGTGCTACATGTAAGAAGAAGTTGGCTACATAACAGTATTGACTATAACTCACATTGTCTCTATCTCTTTGATTCATATTTCTGCCCAGAACTTGAATTTTCAAAGAGACATGATTATGGTATCAAAATAAAAATAAAAAAATGAAGGAGCCCCGTCTCTTGTATTAGGTCATATGAGGAACCTTTTTTGTGTCTTTCAATTATTTTTGAAAGGTAAAAATGACAGTACTCAAAACAAGTAAAGGACTTTATATATCAAAAGACAAATAAGTAAAATGGCATGGCGAAAATAACAGTGCATGATTTTATTTCTGTATAAACAAAAGAAAAACTTTATTTGGCTCTTAAAAATCTAACTTTTCATCATGTATGCCCTTGTAAAAAATAGCATTTTTTTCTGTGGTTAAATTTTCCATATGCATTTTGGTTTAATTCTTGTAAGCGGTTATTTTCACAGTCCATATCAGCTTCAGCCAGAGCAACTTAGAGGAAAATGTGGCACCAAACCCTCCAGTATCTCCCCAAACAGAGTATGACTATTTTTAAAGACAGAGAGTATCATAGCCGACCTGCACTTGTGTAATCAAAGTCTGTTTTATTAAAGTAGAGCAGGAGGATGTCCTGTATTTGCCCTAAAACTTCTGCTTCTGAGCTGGCTGCTGTTTTCTGCAGTGCTGAGTCGTAACAAAGGCAGGAAAGACACAGAAAGGAGGGAGGACACGTGGAGGTCACCAGATGTACACTGAATGCCCAAGGATGTGCCTTACTGAGCCGAGCATATATCTTTTATTTAGAGCCCAAAATAGACCTCATTGTACAATCAACACAAACCCTGAATTCAAGCATTCAGTCTGGAAAGTTGTCCGTTTTGTGATAATTCTCCTGACTTGAGAAAAACAGCCTGTAGCGTGAGACTTCCAAAGGTGAAGATGAGTTCAAGCTAAACTTCCCTCGCTCTGGGTTTGAATATGAAGTCCAGCAACGAACAGACGGCTTTTTGTCTGCAGTGCACTTTTGAAATCGCAGTGCAGTTCCTCAGCCTTGACTTCCCTTTTATTTAATACTCCCCATGACTGAGCGCACTCTCTTTAAACTCTCGCTAACCTTTCCCCTCGCTGAACTTCTCCATTTCAAGATTCTTATCAGGGCTGAACCGCCAGTAACCTCTTGATTTCCTGCGATTGCTGAAGCAGCGGCAAACATAAAGGGGGGAGTCACAAGTTTAAGCTGAGGTCAAGGTGTAAAACTTGACAATCGGCTGTTTGTCTGTGGCTTCTCTCTTTGATTTCCTGACCTCAGCATGAAGCCAAAAGGATGTGAGCGCTGCCTGCACACCAGGCCACCAGTGACTTGTCTAAACGGGGCCAAGGACTCGGAAGTGCCACAACAGCCCTTTCATAGTCATGAGGCCTCCAGAAACTATTTCCTGACGTTACAGATGCTTATTCTCTGACAAACAACTTAATGACTGCACTTAGCATGCTCAGGCGAGGGTTTATCTGCATGGGAACGCATTAACTGTTTCTACTCCTTGGTGTAGATCTGGGGGCTGATGGGATACTCTCTTTATTTGGTGCTTTGTTTATTCACATGGAGGCCATACACAGCCAACACTTGTCACCAGCTGTCAGGATGATTGGAGTGATAAATACGCTCACAGATGTTCGATCACCCTCACCTCATGCAAGTGTTTGAACTTTGAGCACAAGGCCTGACCTCAAATGTTATGTCAACACACACACACACACACACACACACACACACACACACACACACACACACACACACACACATACAGAGGCTTGGATACACACAATATAATTAACATTTTATGGTTTGGGGAGTGATAAAGACAGAAAAACTCCAGCAAATGTCAAAATCTCACACAGCAAAAAATCACTTGTTGTTTCTTTGCTGTTATGAGATGTATCAACCAAATTTAATGAATAATGCCATATATAAGGTGGTTTACACCATCTACCATCAATAGATAGATACTCCCCCTTCTCATATACACAAATATAGGTTAATAGGACTGATTAAATGACTGAAAAGCATCAACAAATAGAAATAAATGGCACTCCATGTTTTTAAGGGTAACAAAAATTAGATGGATCAAAAAAACTCAAACAAAACAAGTAGATTAAAGCTACTATAAGGAGTTTTTCACAATCATTATATAAACTGGGATTCACAATGATTGCTTTTGATGATATCCAAAAACCACCAAGACCACCAGTGCCAGGACTGACAATGTTCATATTCAAATTTTTAATACACAAAAGTTTACTTGAAGACTCCAAAATGGACTGTGTAGATCTACATAGTCCAGTTGCCTGATTTTGGAGTCTTCAAGAAAACCTGGACCTGGATGAATGAGAATCTACATGGACAATACACAAAAGTGTTGCAACAGGGTTAGTGTTCATGAAGCAGCTAAGGACACAGTTTTTATAGGATTCTACAAAATATTTATGATAAATGATCAATTTGATGGTAAACCAATACACTATTTTTTTTTCTTCAAAAATCACTATTCAGACATTCAAAGGACAAGATACTAGCAAAGACTGCTCGCCCCATAGATTGCCAAAATTGGCACAAACAGAAGCTAAATGATAAAATAAAGGCACTGTGAGGAGTTGTTGACTAGTTAAGAAACAGACTGAACCTGATCCTGAAGTCACTTCATGAACTTCAAATGAAAACTAGACTATCAGCAATAAGGCTGATGATTTCACTGTAGTAGTTTTTAAAATGTGATAAAACGTTGTAAGGGGGTAGGTGTCAGACCTGATAATTGACAGCAGGCTGAACAATTGCCTTCTTTGACTTTTTACACTGCTAATACTTAAAGGGAGGGATAAATTATGTCATTAAAAGACAGCAGGGCAAGTGTTTTGTTTAAAAACTCAACGTACATGTATACAGGACAGGTAAGAGGTGTCACTTTTGTCTGCAGGGGGTACCAGTGTTAAGGAAACAAAAGTTTCTTACAGCAGCTTTAACAGAAGATGCATTTTTTTAAAATTGTAGACCTTACCCCAAAAAGTAATATTAACAAAAGTAAATATTGCTCCTTTAAAGAACTTTTGGTTTGTGGCAGTTTTGATGACCCCTGTAGACAAAGTGATACCGCTAAACCTTTTACCGATTTTGTTCAATTTTTACCTTTTATTATGTCAGTCTGGGACAGCTATAGAGTAGTGTTGCATGATTTACAGCTCAAAAAGCTCCTTATCTTAACTGGCATCCCACTGCATTTATTCTGCATTTATTCTGCAAAGCTGAGTAGTAAAATGAACTTTCCAGGTGAGGGAAATTTTGAACAAGCTGCAGGGTATGCACGTCCTTCAACAGTGACCTTATAAGATGGCAGAGCCTAATGTCAGGTTGAGGCCAAGTCTTGAAATGAGCTGTCAAGAGAAGCAGAAACCAGGTCAACGGATTACAGCAGGTTTTGAAACTTTGCAACGTCATATGTATGTGTTAAAATGCTGATCAGCACAGGGAAACACAAATATTAAAAAGTGGCTTAAAGGTCATTCTGAATCTGATATGCTATTTTCTTATTTTATCTTAAAGGTTTAATATGATAAAACACAAAAAGTAAATTCAATACAAAGTCTAACTCAAAAGTTAAAGGTGATAATCACACAAATAAGGTTAAATGCTAAAGACAGGACCACTAAAATGTGTTAAAAGAGGCTGTGTAAACGGGTAAACTTTGAGGTGACTGCTAAAAACAGAAAAGTATGAGCACAGCGTTAAAGTCAGCCAGCAGTAAGGAGGTTAAAGCAAACACCTGGGGAAACTCCCGCTCTGAAGGAAGGAGGTCACATCGGTTTATTTTCACAACCTTACACTGCTTCTTTTTTTTCCCCCAGTGGGTTCTTTGCTTTTGAAGATGTACCTCTTTGTGAAGTCTGTTCCTTAACCCTCGAGGGTCATGACCTTTCGCCCCTCCCTCCTTTGCCCTGACCTGGCTGATCCTGTTTCCCGGGACAGGATCAACTGTTGGCCTGCAGCTGTGCCACCCTCCTCCTCCCCCTCCCTCCTCTTTCTCCCCACATACAAACACAAACCACACACACCACCAGCAGCAGCGAAACCTCCCACCTTCCTCCTCCTCCCACCTTCCTCCCCCTGCATCACGTTCAGCTCATTCTTCAAACGTTTTGTGTAAATATGACAAGTGGCAGCACGGCTTTAGTCTTTTCTTCCCTTTCATGGCTGACAGCCTCTTGACCCCTGCTGCTCCCTGTGGCCTCCTGCTCCACATACATGAAGCTCTAATTAGTCATGAATTACTAATAAGCTTCAACAGAAAGAGTGGGAACAATACGTCAAAGTGAAATGACCACAGACTTCCTCTGTAAGCCCATTGTTTAGAGGAAAGCAGAAATAAGAGCAATTTACAAGAACACACTATTCAGAATTGTCTCTGAAATCAATTTCTGCACTTCCTAAGCACACAGTGTTTCACCCATAATTTAGAAATCATTAATTTACTGTTTGTTTTGACCCATGAGCAAAGGGTGCTTCAATTTAGAAGAGGAACCTTGCTCATAACTGTTTCAATTTAAGATGATACTCTTTTAAAACATAGGTAAACTGCTAATAAAACCTTTAAATAGTTCGTTACACTTTCTGTCAAGTGATGAGACTTGTTGCAGTAGAAGCAGTCCCCCCACTCACAAGTACATTGAGATGTTTTGACAGACAGTATCATCTCTGTTCTAAATCATCATTCAGCACATTCACTTGCACTTTCAAGTGGAGTTAAGGTTACAGCTCAGTTATGCCATTTAAGAAGAGTACTGTCCCTATTCCAGTTTACAAGCACCAGCTAAGAACCGTTTTATCAACAGCAGCATGTCTGTCCTCAAAACAGTAGGTGGCACTATGCTCCCCTTCAGCTTGTTGCTGGTGGTTACTTCCTGTTTAACCAACTACATACCAAAACAATCAACACAAACCAATGGCAGTTGGCTAACAGGATGTAAGCCGAATGATAAAAACACAGTTACTTTTACAGCTCTGTACCTTCTGTTTATTTGACAACACAGTTTCGTCACTTTTCACTTCCTTTTTTGTTGGTTGAGGTTTTCTTTACCAACAGCTTCTTAACAGCATATCTATCTTATTCAACTGTTGGAGTAAAGCCCAGCTAGCAAACTCTTGAGCATATGCAAAATGCTTTGGCCAGTTTCAATCCAAACTGAGCTGTAAACAAGGAAGAGAAAATCAAGTTAAATCAAGTTTTTGGTAAACATGAGTTAGGTAATACAGCTTATACATGTAACTCTTTCATGACAAGATTACGCCAATTAAATAGTTGCACATTATCCTCCAGCAGAGTAATTTGTTGGAGTACTTTTGAGGTACCAAAAACTGAGATTCAGACACTGAAACCTAGAGATGGCAGTAAAGAACCGGTTCCAGATGAGAACAGGTTTCAACTGGTTTGAGCTTTTTTGCTTCACAGTTCCTTTACTGATGCCCTCCTTTTAGTTCTGTGGCTTGCAAAATAATGTGGGGGAAATTATTTGCCTTAAGCTATGGTTTAAATCCAAACTTCACAGCACATCCTGTTTCATGCTTTGTGTGTGGAGATCTGGCTTAAGGACAACTATCAGATAGCCTTTAACTTTTAATTAGCCTTAAACACCTGATAACCTTCACTGACCAGCAGTGAGAAATCAATTTTAACCCAATGAACTCAATTTTCAAATTTCTAAAATGGTTACTTCCATTATTTATAGGATGATAGTGCACTGAGAGACAACTTGCTGATGCAAATTTTGATTTCCCTTTGGGAATTGATGAAGTTCTCCTCAATCAATCATCACAATAATTGATAGAATCCTAAATCGATTTCTGAAATACTGGATTACTGGAGCCCCAACTAGCAGTAGAGGAAGTTGTCACCGCAGAGCGCACATGGGAGTGGTCCAATATGCATACTAAAGTTATTTTTAATCTTTTGATTTACTGTAATTTCCACTCACTTTGTGAGACCGACAGCTGATCGTATAAAGAAGATCAGGGTTAATTTCAGGCTGTTT